TATAGAGCATTGTCCTTCCTAAATTATGAGACGTATAGCAGCCCAGCAGCTGCTGAAGGCCCACAAAGGAATCAGGAAAGCCTAGATGATGCCATCCATCAGGTAGTTGTGTCAGTGTTTCGAAGGTATATCCTTCCTCCATCACTAGTCTGGTCCATGCCTGCTTATACGATAATGCTTGCATGTTCGCTGGGTATCTATAGTCATCAAAAGCCCGCTCATAGTCTTCCTGTGAGGCTAGGACCGCGGCCCAGGGGATAGCATGTGGAGAAGACATAATGTCATGTCGTAGCTCACTGGTTGCGTCTCCCAAGGCTCTGTCAGCGACACGACGTTCATCGACAAGTTTCGACAAACAGCCTTCAATCATGTCCGCAACTTCGACTTGCCAAAGAGTAAGCGTGAGAACCTTGAACCATGGAACTTCAGGCTCATAGAGGATTTCTATAATACGCTGATTCTGCTCCTGATTAGTTTTCACTTGCAAAGATGGTTTATTCTCAACATCTAATAAGAAAACTTGCCTCTGCGTCCCATTTTTCAGCCCAAGTCATGACCTGTTTGACACCGCTCGGCTTCAAGGGGGGGTTCGAAGCAATGTAAAATTCAACGCACTGGAAAGAATCCATGGTTTCTTCTTGCCACGATCGGCCGGTGGACTGAAAAGGGATCTGTTCGTCTACCATTGTCTTAGCAAAACTCAAAACAAGGAGGTCAGACACGTAGCGCGGAAGAAAGATATGGCTTTGAGAGGTCTCAATCGTGACTCAATCAATCCGCGAGGTAGCACATGGCACGCCTTACCAACAAAAGTAAGGTAAGTTGCTCCGAAAGCTTGCAGGTAGAATTGCGACAGTGACTGAAAGTCATAAGCAGTTATCGTCAGAATCAGTTTGACATATTCCATCCTAAGTAAAATACATACATCTAAGTGACCAAGACTAGGTTGTCCATGGTTGAAGTTAGCGGATGGAACAAAAAGTGACAAGGTTGGCAGGTCCGTTGAATACCTTGGTGCTTAGGTAGTACAGTGCTGAGGAGAGGGAAAATGGCCAGAACCTATGAAGAGGCGACGAGAGAAAGCAAAACCGGATGCAAAGAGAAAATGAGAGAAGTAGAAATTTATCTCCGTTTCATTTGTGGCGTATGTATGCAAAGAGTCAGCACGAGCATCATGCTAATATAACGCAGAAAACTCACCTGCTCACCAGGAAACCGGCGTCCGAAAGTCCCTTTCTCGCCGCCACGGGCTGCGGAAATATGAAGAAGAGAGAAAAAAACATTGGGGGAAGAAAAACACGCGAGTGTTATGCATGTCAAACAGAGACAGTGCCAGCTGCCAGCTGGCTGTACCTGCCCGACAACACCCTCATGCACTGACTGCAGGCACGCTCGCACCAAGTCGGATTCGGAAACCTCTAGATCGTAAGTATTACCGAAACAAGCACACACAATTTATTGGTAATCAACTAGGGGGTATCTGGCGTGTTACCAAGTAGTTCAGAAAGTGAAGAAAAAGACGTATACATGCCATCCCATGTCTGTTGTATCATCAATGCATTCTTCCTGCCGCCTACTAATCCTTCTGTATAGTGTACTCCCTTTTCTCTTCACAAGGCACCGGTCCTTGAAAAACAAAGCGATACCAAAAGCCCAAGACTCAGATGAGCCAAGTCCACCAAGTACGACGCAAAATAATAATAATATGTGGTCAGTTTGACATGTGCAAGGATACTAGGTTGGTCTGGATGAGAAAAGCCAAGAAAAGAGACCAAAAACGCCCCCAAGCGCCTCATTATAATCCCCCCTCTATAGATTTAACGGGGACCGAGACTGCGGGAGACGTCGTATCCTATTCCGTAGTGGTCATCCTATTGTTGTTGACGTGTTCGTCTATGCTGGTGGTGACGTAAATGCAATGAGAGGTGTAAAAAGCAAGTGTTCTATTGTTGAGATTGACGCTGTGAAGCTGCAATGTCCCCGAAGCTATAGGAGCCTGATGACGGAATCGGAAGGTAGCGTAGCGGCTAAGCGTGTCGGTAGGTAGTTAGCAACAGCTCGTTGAGGAATTGTTGCAGGGGAAACATGGTGTTCCCTCATTGCGCGCCTCTGACGTTCTCTTTAACGTTCAAGGCCCATTTCAGCTTATGAAGGGCTTCTCTCGCCTCGTCTAGCTGCTTCTCCTGTTCGGCTTGTCTCTTCTTCGCGTTGGTCTTGATGTCTTTCAGGTCCTCTTCTTGAGTCCTCTTATACTCCTCAAATAGACGAGCGATCTCTTCCTTTTCCCGCCTTAGCTCCTTGATATTGTTGTCCTGTTGTTCGCACAAGTCCCTCAGTGTGGTGATCTTCTCGTCGTCAGACCTCCGTTCGTCGACAATGGTTGTGATCTCCCCCCTCATTTTGGACACAGCACGTTTGACCTCCTCGCCTTGGTCTCGCCAGTGAGAGGAGATTGCGTTATATCGGCCCTCCATCAACTGCGCATAGCTTGTTGCCTCTTCTACGCGGACCTTTGACTCGTTCTTCACCTTGTCTAGTTCGTCTTTCCAGCCTCTTTCGCTCGCCATTGCTGCCTGTGTTTTCCTCTTCTCCAGCTCCACCGCACCCGTAAGCGACTCTACCTGACGTTCTTTCCGAGCCAACAGCGTCTTTGTTACATTTGCTTCCAGCAAGCGACCCTCGTACTCGTTCATCATCCGCTCCATCTTGTCTTCCAGCAATTTAGCAGCCTGCTTGGCCTCCTCTGCCCGTAACCGCTCAATTTTGATGTCTCGCTTCAGGGCGTCATTGTCGCTAACAAGCTTATTGATGACGCGTCCCGTCTTTCCTAGGCCAGCTTTTCCAATTGTTGAATCCCACTGCCCATTGTCGATTTCTTCCGGCAGCATCGATGGATCATGTGCGAGGTACGGCTCAACCGCTCGTACGCCATTACCGTGCCACCTTGAAGACGTCGTCTCAGGTGCACCATCCTGCTTTAACCTGGTCGTCGAAGGTGTCTTGTCTTGTTCGGCATCTGTGCCCGGCATGATTGAGGCGGTACCGGCAGCGGAACTGACGCTGCTTGAAAGGGCACTGCGCCTGCTGTCGGAACTGGACTCGGAGCCGTCGACACTGGGAACGCTTCGAATAGTGGCTGACCTCGCAAGAGCGTGTTTTGCAGCGTTGTTCGCCGGACGTGGCGTCGTCATACTGTTTATCGTGCCGGTCGACGCTGGCGCAAGGGTCTTTGCTGAAGCATCTAGTTGTGCTTGGTCATGTGCAGGTTTCAGAGCTGAGAGAAATCACGTATGTATTAGCAACAAGGTCGTTTCGCCCTTTTGAAAAGACTGAATGAAAGGGAAAGCAAAGCGGACTGTGCTCAAAGCGCTGTCCCCTTTGCGAGGAGGTAAGACTGAGGCCGACTGATGTGAGGGTGACAGGCCGAGACGAGCACTCTCAAGAAGGCCAGGCCGGGCACCACGGATATCAGGGTCCTTGCGAGCAAATGTACAGTACAAGGGGAAGGGGGAATTCATCATACCATGCGCAGCGTCCCGATGGATAGCAAAGTCTCGCTTCTGTAGGCGCTTCCTGAGCATTGCGCAGAAGAGTAGTCGAGGGCACAAGTCGCCGTGTCTTGTTGCACGATCCCGGCTCGAGTGATTGACGGTCCAAGGGCCGGTGGATGTGTGTGTGGAGTCAGGAGAACAGGCGAGTTAGCGGCGGATGCTCGCGGTGCTGGCTGTCAGGCACAGCAGTGCCGTCATCATCTGTAATACCAGACTTGACAGTCTGTGGCAGACGATATTTGCCCACCAAAAAGTATGCACCGATATACTACAGCATATCATAATAAACCACGCTGGAGAGATCGATAGCTAGGTACCTGGCCTGGTTAAATACTTTCTGCCTCCCACTGTATAATCTTCGCTTTACTTTGGAGTTACGGACAGGCCAGGCAGTTGGAAAGGGCCCGACTCTTGGAGGAGGAGGCCGTCAAAAGGGGCGGAGCTGTCGAATGCAAGCAGCACCCGGGACTGACATGGACGCTGCTCAACTGGACGATGGTACTAGTGACTGCAGAGTCCTGCAAACAGTCACTCTTGTAATAAAAAGGACAATGTTCTGCAACAAGCCATCGCCAAACTCCCGACGAAAGCCCATCCAGGCAGCCTATTCCCGGGAAGAAGAAAACATTAGAACCATGAACTCATCCGCAAGCACATCAATGCTCCCGCCGAGCGTCTCGTCCGGCTGTCATTTGTCGGTTCTGACGCGGCCCCAACAATATGTACAACAGCCCTCTGTCTGAGGTCTTTGTCTCTCCGTCCAAACAACAAATATGGAGTACTAATATTATTATTATTATTATTGCCAGGGGCTCTGCATGCATAATGCAGGACACCCACCCAGCCTGGTCCTGAGCGGGTCCGGGACATCAGGCTGCCACTAGCTTGCGGTGGGCATTGTGGGTGGCGCAAAGCCAATTCCGATCCGATCAATGCTTTGACCAAATTCATTCCAATGCCATTGTCAGGGCAACCACGTCTGCGACTCAGCTTGGCCATCCGCACCATCACGCGATCTGGCAGAGCTCGGCAAAACGTACATCTCAGCTACAGCCATCACAACTAATTATCTGAACTGTACCATGCCCCGTGAACGAATATAGACAGACGCTTTCTTGAGTCTCAACCCGGTGTCTGATGCCCCCTCCTTCCTTCTCATATCCTCTATCGGCCCCTTTGTGCCTCTATTGCCTTTATCAACCCGCCTCCGTGGACAAAACTGTCAAGTGTCAAACTCATCATTGATGGGATAACGTCCAGAATCCCAAGATACCTGTCTCATTCCCGAGTGAACGCCTGTGAAATGCCTTGTATGATACCACAAAATGATCTACAACGTCGTCTGTGCGAGCTCTCTCCCGGGAACAATTCCCACCTCTTGGCAAGCAGACCAGGACACCCGCTATGCACGACCACAATTACAAAGGCGAATATCCTCTAAATCTCTCCTCATGTCGCAATGGCTGTTCCTGACGATTCTAGACAAGCGCTGTCTCTGTTCGCCTTGGCCTCGGCAGCTTCCACGAATCCAGGCCGATACTTGGACAGATACTTGCTTGCCATTGGCCTGGCATCCTCAACTAATCGAGGTTAGCAAGAGGCCCAGGAGAGACTATGAGTGGAAAAAAGAAAAAAAAAAAAAGGATAAATGATAACTCACATTCTGTCCAGATGTCCTGAACGGTGTCGAGAGCCAGTTCTTTCACAGGAGGTCGCATCATAGCCAAATACAACAAACTCGTCAGAGCTAATTGCGTAACGCTAGGGTCCCGACACATGTCTTTGACTCTTGACAGCATGGTGCGATTCAACTCGGGTATTTCGCTTAAAAACCTGGTCAAAACCTTGTCTTGTGGGTGCAGGTAGGGAAGAAAGCCGTTTATCAGTCGTAGTGTGTTTTTCTCGTAGTTTCTGGGGTAATCCCCGCCCAATCGAGCCTGCATTTTGTCATTGTACCATTCCTCGCAGAGCCATGACACAGCGACATCGATATGTTTTCGGAAGTCCTCCATAACATAGTTGTATATAACTTCGCGAATATTGTTGCCAAGAGACGGTTGCCGCGACGATTCGTCTTCTTCGCCTTTTACGGAAATTTCCTCTAATCCAGTGGACGCCCGCGTGGCGAGTCGGGTCAGTATTGTCATCCAGGCGTCCTTGCTTCCCGAGCTTGCTGCCAGACGGATAAATCCAGCCTTATGCTTCTTGGCCGCGGGTTCCTCCAGTGATTTCATCATATCGACCACCTTTGCTACTGTTCCACTTCCAGCGCTAAGTGCCATTTCGGGTGTAAGTTGAGCAGGCTGAGGTAAGCTGAATGATGCCAGAGCCAATGAACTGTCCAGAGCCGTGAGTTCAGCAGGAAGGGGCGCCGATGCTCCATCTAGCTTGTTCAAAATTTGCTCGGTATCTTCTGCTTGATAGAAATCGGGTTCGTAGTCATCGTCGTCCTCGTCAACGCCAAGCGGTGCAGTATTAGGATTCAATTCCGGAGCAGGCGCATTAGCCAACGTAGTGAGTCGTCCACGCACTCCGTCAACAGCCTTTGACAGTAATTGAGAGTCTATACGTGATAATGCTGTGACTGTGACCTTGGCTATCATGGCGGCTGGGACTTGTGACAGGTCAAATGACTTCAAACCATCGTGGCCAACAAGGGTAAACATATCGGCCAAGCTGTGAGGCCCAGAGCCAAGGGGCGGAATTTGTGGTATATATGACTCAGCCACTCGCTGACGTTTGGCATCATAACCATCGTGTTGCTGTGCTTCCCGTGGTCGCTTCCTGCCGGAGTCGTCCAGAACCTCCATCACCATATGCATCATGCGTTCAATATGCTGATGGATTCTTGGTACCATTGGATTATGAGGATCTCGTTTAGTAAGATGAAGGAGTAGTAATCTCGCAGTTTTCTCCATGGACTTGATCATGACTTTACTCTTCGGTGTCAGGGGCGAGTTTGCTAATTGAAGAGGGTTGAAGCTAAGTAATGCGTTTAGAATTCGGCTTGACGTCGCGGGTCTGGTCCGTACAAGGATTGACAGACTATTTAGTGTCGCATCGACAAGAAGAGCATCACTGTGTTCAAATTAGCCTCATTGATGACATTTGGGTTTCCATCATACTTACGTGCTCTCTTGCAAAACGACAAGCATACGATCCAAAAGTCCTGACGCCTCAGCCTCGAGGTTTCTAGGATCGAGTGACTGATGGTTAGGCGGAACCTTGTCTAGTGAGATATCGAGAGTACCGGCGTGCTATAATCCACATCAGATGCGTGTAAATGTAGCTCAGAAATAAAAGACAATACGCACTCTAAATTCCGCCCCCGTTGAGACGGTCTGCGCAAGAACCACCCTCTGGGCGAACTTAATGCAGCTAATCCTTACGGTTGGGACAGCACTCTCCCACAATCGCAATATTTTCTGCTTGATACTCAACATTTTATCCCATGTGACCGTATCGTACCCATTATTTATACTGCGACATAGCACGGATTAGCACATATTCTCGAGGCTATGTTATGCTGAGTCAACTTCCCGACACGAAGGCGTGTCCGGCCAACTTACATCCATCGCAAAGCCAGCGGATAAATACTCGCCGCCGTCAGAATAACACTCCGCAGCACTTGCGGGTCCTCTCTCTCATTCTGCAACAAGGATTCCACCGTCGCCAGAACATAGAGCTGCATCGTTTCCTTCTCGCCGTTGGGGAGTGCGGGCGTTGAAAAAGCCTCGGCCAGGAATTCCGCTCCCCATCGTCGCAATTCAACCTGCGCATTGGGTCCAATGATCGGAAGAAGACCTCTCACCACATTCGGATAGTACTTTACATCCCCCAGAACGAGCTTTCGCGCGTCATTAAGCTGGCGGATCTGCTCCGGCACCGATAGGTTGGAGCTCATTCTTGCAATGTCTTCAGGCCGCAGCCTCTCGTCGTCGTTTGGTGTTGCTCCGCAAAGATGAAATCAATGCCCAGGCCCGGCTCTGATGAAGGCGCGCGTTTGTGAGATGTCGTGCGACGAAAAGGCGCTACATAAGCATGGGCTAGGTCGTGGTCTTGGGACGTCGTGAGGCAGCTTTGTGGTCGCGCGACAAAGCCTCGGGGTGCTGAATCAGCTACCTTCCACCATCCCCCATGCTCTGTGTTCCAATCGTTGACTCTCGTACTGCCCGTCAATGTGAGGTTCAAGCAAAAGTCGCGCCGCCACGGCCCCGTGATGTTGTCTGGGTATAAGTGCCTTTCGTTGAAGGTGCAGTCAAGGTTTTGGCAACAGACATGAGACGCGGGTTGACCCACCCTTGTCATGGAGCCCAGCTTCAGTCTTTACTGATGTCGCCGTGCCTGACCTCAGCTCCCCTGTAACTATATGAGTACATTTAACCGATAATGAACCGGCCCGGCACCTTCAACTTCGGATTATAGATCATGCCATACACACTTCTAGACATTTTTGCAAGGCTGAATTCACCGTGCATTGTGTCCACATCTTGTTCTGCTTAACTTGGGGCTCTTTTGAAGCACGCTGAAACCCTTGGGCCTCTGAATACCGATATCGAATCAACATGGCTGGGTTCGCAATCCCTCCAAATTTCCGTGCCCGGCGCAAACCATATGCTAACTTAACATGAGACGCAGCGGACACTCAACATACTACGATCGCCGGTATCGCCAGGGCCCGGCGCTTATTCGCGCGCGCCGACCCTACTTGTTCAAGAATGCATTGACCGGCCTGGGTCTTCTTGCCGTCGTGGGGGGCATATGTAAGGAACTGGTCCACACGTTGCCTAGATCAGCATCAATCGTCTAACTCATCAACATAGATTGGTATACTCTAAAGGCTGTCGGACAAGACGATTTTGACGATGTTAAGGTCCCCGATGCGCCGCAAAGGCCCGTACCCGCAAAATAGAGAAAGTAATTACGAGTTTAAGGAATTTTATGCCACGGACGATGACAGACACCGTCAACATTGCGGCAAAGAAACCCAATATGGATTGACAATGGTTGCATCGGGAGATATCGAATCGGGAGATTGATATTTTATGTGTGAATGCAAAAGTATGACTGTCTTTATGCAGCTGCTTTGCTAACCATAAACGCCTCCCATGACATGAGACCACCCACCCCTTTGTATAATAGCAAGATACACCACCATCACCATCTTTTAGTGCCATGTATGAATAAACGGAAGGCAGGCTGCGTAATCCCATTGCACAATTCTCACTTATTCCTAAGCCGCTGATTCGTGCCATAACAATAATCCATCCGAACGACAAACGCAAGCCGCGCCACCCATGCAAAACTTTTTCCGACTAGGTTCTGGTCCATGTCAAGTTTTGTCCAAAGAAATAAACACCACATATACCAAACCAAAGCCAACATAATATTCTGGGTATCATTTATCCGTTTTGAAAGCATTTCGCCGGCACAAGTCCAAAATAAAAGCAAGGCCGCCTCCCCGACTACACCTTGGGGCTTCAGAGCTTAGCACCTAAACAGCTGCAGCTTTTGAGCTTCTGCCAATATTTGGTATACTTGCAACTCGCTTCATCTGGTGTGCTGCGGGGCTCAATACGGATCGCGATAGCTCAGGTGATTCTGACATCTGATGAAGCACAGCAGGCGACTTGCGAATTGGCGTCTGGCTATCAATCATCGTTTTCACCTCTGCATGCGAAGTTGACGCATGAGCTGCGTGTTGATTCGGCCGACTAAATGAGGCCGTCACTGCTTGTCGGCTGTTAGTATGAGCTGCTGATTGCTGGTGCGCTTTGTGGGAAGAGTGATTCGGGTTCGCCCATGGCGTGTCCTTGATGAACTGCTCTCCCGCGGGACCTAAACGACTGAATGTGGGGTTCGGGTAATCATCTCGCAATTGAGCTATCCCTCTCTGCCGGCTCCGTCGGACTTGCTACAGTTGGAAAGATAGTCAGATGTGATTCAAATGGTTTGCAGGCGGTAGCAGATGATAAGTGGTCATTTACTTACCTCGATAGCGCCAAAATCAGCGTCAACCTCCGCGGCCGAAGCCCCTTTTAGTTCAGGGCCTGCCGGGAAGCCCTCATATTTGGCAAGTCCCGCCAGAGTGGAGACTTCGGTGTTGTACGCAACCGCATTTCGTACTCGTTGCACGTGGTCCTTGGGGAAGAGTAGCCCATAATCTGGCAGACTATGCGCAGTCCTTCTCGCTGTTTGAACCTCGTACCATTGGCGGTTGAGCGACTCCAGCGCAGCCTCGCGTTTTTCTCGAACGGCCTGAAAATACTGACTCCAGACTTGAGCTCGTATTGCCACAGCACGTCGTTCGTGGGCCTCGATTCGAAAGACGAGTTCGTGGTTTATCTCGCGTACTCTCTTGTCTAACCGGTCATCTAAGCATTGCTTCATATTTAGATACTCGGGGTGGGTCGGAACGGGTGCAAGCAATGATTGCTCTTCCTCCTCAAGTCGTTGTAGACGGTCTTTGTATAGTCTGGAATGGTGTGAATTAATATCCTGAGCGCTCGAAAGCAAAGGAGAGCACGAACCTGTCTCTAAATAAGCCAAACATTTCCTCAATATGAGACCAATCCTTGAAAGCGGCGTTCTTCTTCTCGGCTGTGATCAGATTAGCAACATGGCAATCAAATTAAGAGCTGATTGGCAGAGCTAGGCCGTAACGTACCCTCCTCAATGCTTTTGGCCGCCAGATCAGCTTCGTCTGTGTCGCCCTCAACGTCTTGATTTCTCTGCTCCGTGTCTTCATCTTCCACAACGTCTAATTGTTCGCCATTGGTGTCGGGCCCAGGCGTGTCACTAGGAGAGTTATCACCAGAGCCTCCCTTCCTCTTTGAACCGTTTCGCGTAAGCTTTTTAGGGACTCGATTTTCCTTCTCCGGGCGTTCACCGTCGGTGGGCGCGTCTTGATTTGCTGCGGAGATGTCGTCCTCTTCACCGGCAGATTGATCACCGCTTTGGGGAATTGCCGGCGTTGTGTCGTCGTCAATGGAGGTATCCACGTCCGCACTAGTCTCGGCGGCCCCGAGTGAAGTGATTCGCTTTCGCAACGGCTGATCTGACTCGGACTGGTCTGCCATGGGCGAACGCTTTCTTTTCCTCTCTTGTGAGTCTCGTTTGGCGTCGCCGTCGACACTAGTGTCTTTGCTAGCAGAGGGTTTCGTAGGAGAATCGTCGCCAGAGGCCACTGACGCATCGTCGGCCGACAATGAGTCGTCGTCAAGGTTGTTATCATCATCGCCAATCAACCCAGAGGCGCTTCTTAGCTTGCTAGGGGTGTGTTCGAAAATCTGGCCTTGGTTGTACTGGTCAACTACCACGTCTCGTCGTCGTTGGTTCCGCGGTGTGTCGTAAAGCCTTTCTGTTTCAGCCTCGGTATCATTGGCCTCTGAATTTTCGTCAGAACGGGCATCGGACAGAGCGCTTTCGGAGTCAGATGCGCCAGTCTTGGTGTCCGCTTCTGGCTGGTCATCCCCACTGGCATTCGAGTTGTCGGCGTCTTTGTTGCGGGCGTCCATATGCATGTGCTCGATGTCCTCATCATTGGCTTCGCCGTCTTCGACCTCACTCAGAGGACTAGAAACATTGCTGTCCTCAAGATCAGCTTCACCGGGCCCTGGAGGCGTCACAGTGCCGCGCACAGAAGTGGTGGCCACCATGACTACTCGGGCTCCTTGGGTGGACGCTCGATCGCGTTGAGAGTGTGCTTCTGACAGATTATCGACGCAGCAGGGCCGAAAGTACAGTCCTGGCCGGAGGACAGACGGAATCTTTGGCGGTGCGAGCAGGAACAAGGTCTTTCGGGGAGCTCTGCTGGGCAGCACCACACAAGCCCAAGATCTGGCGGAGAAACGAGGACGGGTGGGTGATGCGGCAGAATCTGCAGTTTGCAACCTGGTGGTCGGGTCGGCCTAGCAATAGAATTGGCAAAGACGGCATAAACAGGATGTAGAAGAAGCATTCACAGAACAATGGTAGTATTGGAGGGGGGAGGAGCGAAGGTGTGGTGACGAAAGAAGAGGAAGACATGGACCGAGAGGGCGGGCGGCTTTCGCGCAGAATCGGCGTCTGTGACAGTTCCGTCTCTGGGCAAATAAACTACAACCTTGGTTACTCTGTACGGAGTAGCGCTGTGTGCTGTGTGTGCGCGGCGTGGATGCTCAAGGGTGGGCGACAGCGGTGGATGACAGTGCACCATGTGGTGACCAAGCCCGTGGTTGGCGGACCACCAACTCGCACCTGCCCATTCGATCGCTGTACATGGCAATGAATGGCATTTCGTACAGCGCATGTAGTAACACCGACAGCGGGCAGGCAAATGGTGGGACTTCCGGCGGTGAATCGCGGCACAAACGAGGTCATGGGGACCTTGCACATCCAGCCGCGAGCCTGAAGCCAATGACGCATTCTTCCGGCCGCAAGGCTCTAGCTAGTGGCTGTGGTTGTGGCCCACTTGGCCTGGCCTCATTTGTGTGCCAAGTGCACCAGCTCTTCGACTTGGGGTCCAACGAAGTTGGGGAATATTTATCGAATTTTTTTTTTTCTTTGGCTGCAGATAAGGTCGACTAGCTAGCAGGGAAACCTGCAAACCGAGCCCTCTCAAACAACGACACTTTGGCCGCACAGCCAATCCTCCCCAAATATGGCTAAGAAGTATGTTGAAGCTGCAATTGATTATCCTTTGGTTATCATTGCTGTTTCTTTTTCCACTCATGTCCAATAATCATTTGACTAACAAGGCTCAGAAGCTCACTGTTGCAGGCTTCATCCAAAGCAATTGACCCCACCCTCGACGCCTTGTTTGCCAGCAGTGTACGTACATGAATGCACTTGACTTATTATTATTCTATCTGTTATCAGCTTAAATGCAACTAACGCCTGACAGTCGGGTCCTGTACAAGCTCCCTCGGCGTCTCGCTACTCTGCGTTGCTGGAGAGGGAGCCCCGCGAAACCCTCAAGTCAGCAACTGAGACCGAAAACAACGAAGATGAGGACTCGGCAGAGAATGTTGAGGAGCTGTCAGAAATTAGCGAAGAACTAGACTACGACGACGATGAGGATAGCAAAGACAATTCCTCAACCAATGAGGACAGTGGTGACGATGTGGCAGAGGATGAAAATGGTGAAGAAGACCTGGTAGAGAAAGGGGAGGATATTTCCATGGCTGAAGGTGGAGACCAAGTTGCGGAGGCAGATAAAGATGGGAATCAACCCAGACGTGAGAGAAAACGGAAGAGGAAGGATGACAACGAGGACCTAGAAGCAAAGTACATGGCCGATTTGACAAAGGATGACGAAGAGGAACCCTCGGGCAAGCGACAAAAAGCAGAGGAGAAAGACGATAAGGACGAGGAAGATGTGGTTCCAGTCCACGAAAGCTTGGCACAGAAATCTACAGACTCGGATATCGAAAAGGCGTCACGAACAGTCTTCCTAGCCAATGTCTCAACAGAAGCCATTTCCTCCAAAGCTGCCAAGAAGGCCCTTCTCACCCATCTCTCCTCCGTCCTGGATCCGCAGGGCATGCCCGCCCAAAAACTCGAATCCATCCGCTTCCGATCCGTCGCCTTCTCTACGGGCTCCATGCCCAAAAGAGCGGCTTACATCACAAAGTCTCTCATGGGAGCCACGACCAAGTCCGCCAACGCCTACGCTGTCTTCTCTACCCCGGCCGCCGCCAGACTCGTCGCCTCCAAGCTCAACGGCACCGAAATTCTCGGCCGTCACATTCGTGTAGACAGCGTTGCGCACCCCAGTCCCACAGATCACCGTCGGTGCATATTCGTCGGCAACTTGGGCTTCGTTGACGACGAAACCGTCGTTAACACCAACGAGGGGGGTGAAAATGTTGAAAAAAAGCGTACCAAGGTTCCCTCCGATATCGAAGAAGGCCTCTGGCGAACATTCAGCAAGACGGGCAAAGTCGAGAATGTCCGTGTCGTTCGCGATCCCAAGACAAGAGTTGGCAAAGGTTTCGCATACGTCCAATTCTACGTAAGTTTCTATGTAATACTTTTTTCCGTTTTTTTTTTTTTTTGGACCCTAACGCACCCGCCAAATGTCTTTCACCCATAGTTGACCCAGACATTACAGGACGCCAACGATGTCGAAGCGGCTCTCCTTTCTGACGGCAAAAAATTCCCCCCCATGCTACCCCGCAAACTTCGCGTAACCAGAGCCAAGGACCCTCGCAAGACCGCTCGCACACAGGAGCGCGCTCTGGCGAAGGCCGTCGCGGCCGACAGCAAGTCCCGCAACACAGAGTACTCGCAGAAACTCACACCCGAGCAGCAAGCTGCCGCCGGACGAGCAAACAGGCTCCTCGGCCGTGCAGGAGGCTTCATGCATCGCAAGAAATCAGGCAGTGACAGTCTCAACACCATGCCGAACCAAAAGGTTGTGTTCGAGGGCAATCGCGCATCGTCCAAAGATGGGAAACCGAAGGATTTGAAGTTAGGCAAGAAGAAGGGCAAGGGGAGGCCTCAGAATAGGGCGACAAGGAGAGCAGCCGAGTGGAGGAAGAAGTCTTCATAGAGGGTGGACTTCATGGTCTTTTTTTCTTCTTTTTTTTCTGGCGTTTACGTACATTTATAGGCATAGCTAGCTAAAAAGCATAAGCACATTAGATACGAAGATTCGTCTCGTCATGTCTCAAACACTTTCATATGACTGCTCGTGTTCCCCGAAAAGAGTAGATCAGCTTCTGGCGAAAAATACATCTTCCCGCGAACCAGAACATGACACAAGATAAATACGCATAAAATAAATGAGTTTAAGGGGATATCTCAACATCAACTTCGCCTGCCTGCCAAAGAAACGAGGCAGACTGCCTATATATTAGGCATGGCGCTCAATTAATAAAATGAAAAGGCTTTTTCCCATTTCCCAAAGGATCCTATATTCATTCCAGTAATTTCCATCGTTACTTTGCTCATCTCGATATTACTTGATACCAAGGCCGTTAGGATCGAAATCTCCGTTCAACAAAGTATACCGAGCATACTAGGAGTCTTTTACTGCTTGACAGCCCAAAGGCTCAAACGACAATCAAGACTCCAGCTCTGTAAAGATGCAGAAGTGTAGTGAATGAATCATCATCCTTAGTACTCGAGCTCCTCCTCGGCTTCGATGCCATCGGCAGCAACCTCCTCATAATCCTTCTCAAGGGCAGCCAAATCTTCACGAGCCTCGGTAAATTCACCCTCCTCCATACCTTCACCAACATACCAGTGCACGAAGGCGCGCTTGCTGTGCATGAGGTCGAACTTGTGGTCAAGTCGGGACCAGGCCTCAGCAATTGCGGTGGTGTTGGAGAGCATGGAGACGGATCGCTCAACAGAGGCAAGAGCGCCGTCTTCGGCGGGGGCGGGGACAGCCATGGGCTTCTGGTAGTTGATTCCGAGCTTGAAACCGGTAGGACACCACTCGACCAAGTTAAAGGAGGCCTTGGCCTTGACTTGTGCAATGGCGGCGGTGCAGTCGCGGGGGACAACGTCGCCACGGTACAAGAGAGCGACAGCCATGTACTTGCCGTTGCGAGGGTCGCAGACAACCATCTGATTGTTAGGCTCGAAACCTGTTTCGGCCACCATGTTAGACAAATACCCAGGGATCCAGGGGAAGAAGTTAAAGTTTGTTGGGTTTATAAACGTACACTGGAAAGTGAGGTCGGCAACCTTGAAGCTTTCGTGCTTGCTCTTGGAAGCAGAAACAACGGGAGCATAGCTGATCAATGGGTAATGGATACGTGGGTAAGGAACCAGGTTGGTCTGGAACTCGTTGAGATCGACGTTGAGAGCACCGTCAAATCGCAGAGACGAAGTTATGGAGCTCACAACCTGGGCGATCAAACGATTGAGATGCTCGTGCGAGGGCCGGGTAATATCCAGGTTGCGGCGGCAAATATCGTAGACAGCTTCGTTATCGACGAGGAAAGTACAGTCCGAGTTTTCAATAGTGCTGTGCGTGGAGAGGACGGCATTGTAAGGCTCAACAACCGAAGTATTGGTACGAGGCGAAGGGTAAACGGCGAACTCGAGCTTGGTCTTCTTGCCGTACTCAGTGGCAAGGCGTTCCAGCATGAGAGCACCGAAACCAGAGCCGGTGCCGCCACCAAAGGAGTGGAAGATCAGGAAGCCCTGAAGAGAGTTGCAGTTGTCTATCCCAAGTTATCTCGAATTAATTTCAAAAACCCACTACCAGACTAGGAGATGGACAATCTCCCCCTCCACGTTGACGATAATGTGGAAAGTCCGCCTCGGGTTGTATTTACTCACCAGTAACGCGGCGAACGCGCTCCATGACAGTGTCAACCATCTCCTTTCCAATGGTGTAGTGGCCACGAGCATAGTTGTTGGCCGCATCCTCCTTTCCGCTGATCAACAGTTCGGGGTGGAAGAGCTGACGGTAAGGACCAGTTCGGATCTCGTCGATGGGAGAGGGGTCAAGATCCATGAAGATGGATCGAGGAACGTGCTTGCCATTGCTCGTCTCTGTGAAGAAAGTCTCGAAAGAGCCTGGATCGCCGACATCCTTGGCATTGGGGTCGGGGCGGCCATCAGGACCAAGGCCGTGTTCGAGAAGGTAGCTATATCGACAAACGTTATAAACATTGTTTCTAGCCAGAGCGGAGTGTACAGATGGCATGTAACTACGAAGACACGACGTACAGCTCCCAAGCAGAGTTACCCAGCTGGACACCAGCTTGGCCCAGATGAAGGTGAAGAATCTAGTTATAGGCAAGGCGATTAGCAGAAGCTCAGCTATGCAAAAAGGCAGCAACGGCAGCGAGCGAGCCAGAGAGAGAGAGAGAGAGAGAGAGAGAGAGAGAGAGAGAGAGAGAGAGAGAGAGAGAGAGAGAGAGAGAGAGAGAGAGAGAGAGAGAGAGAGAGAGAGAGAGAGAGAGAGAGAGATAAGGGGCACATTGAATAGCTGTGGTGGACGTGGTGCTGGCCCATTGAGTGACGGACATGTAGCAACGCGAGCACAGCGGCAGCTCACGACTATATCAAATCCTTACCTCGCCCTTCATTTTTCGTATACGCAGTCGTAGAACCTGTCAACGGCAAAGCTATCTCGAGATGCTTAGAGACGGTTGGACGAACTAGGCGCACAGCGCTGTGGTAGGAGAAAAGGGACCACTTGAGTAGACAGGAGGTGGTGACGATGATTTGCCAGGCCGCACCAGACTCTACATACCTGGGACATGCTGTGGGCATATGGCGGGGTCGACGTCAGCAATTGAGCACACGGCGCCACAGGGGCAGCGGGTGCTGGAGTGGAGAGACAGATTGCACAGTAGTACCCGGTACCTGCGGCAAACCGTGAATCCCGGTGAGCTGCAAGGTCACCTCGACCGCTCACCGCTCATTGGCAGCCGACCAGAGCGCTCCAAGCCTCCAGTGAAAGTGGTGAGGGGCCCAATGTCTCCAGAATGCAGGGGCTGTGGCTTGCGCTAGAGCCTAGCTACTTAAGTACCTAGCAGCCTAGCGCAACAATTGAGATTGACTGCCCCAGCCACATGTGCAGTCGACTTGACGTTTTCAACGGTGATTGATGCCCCCAGCTGGACGGTCAGATGCGTGCTTGTCCAGCCGCATCATCAGATAACGACCGGCCAAGATATCTCGCAAACGGTCATGTCATCTCTACATTTCCATTAGCGCATTGATTTCCAGCAACATGGAGACGGGCACCAACGACAACATTGGGCTGCTCAAGTTTCTGCCAATCGGACGGTGTGACCACTGATCTACAATCATTTCCGAGACTGTACGGAGTTACTATATTCACTATCGTTATTGTTTAAAGCTTTAAGGCCAAGTCGATATGCCGCAGAACCACGGCGTCGTCCTCTTGCCATGCTAAAAAAAAAAAAAAAAAAAAAAAAAGGAAAACAAAAAAAGAAAGAAAGAAAGAAAGAAAATACTCCGGCCAGTCCGACGTTATGCTATCTATCCATGGCACCTAAGAACTCGAGCTATAGAAGGTATCATTCGTACGCACAAGAAATCATCACAGCCTTGAACGGCGCAACGTTGGTGTGTCATTCCCTCACCAGCTATCTTTTCCATACGTACAAGGGGAAGTGCCTCTGCCCTTGGCCGAGAGCATGGACAGTCACTGCGAAATTAGCGTGCTGTTGAACATGTTGAGTCAGTGCAAACCTTTATGTAAATATTTCGCATCCATGCGACTGCGCGATTTGATTCTAGTTACGACATGTGAATACCTAGGTACTTGTCCAATGCCTCGTGTTTATACGCCGAATAATGCCATGCAAATCCATCCTCAAATGTTCCGACTCAGGTATACGCCAAACGCCCCAAAAGGTATCGTATGAAACAAGTAACAAAGCCTATTCCTCAATTCATAACCGTTCCGTTGGTGCTTTCAATTTCTAGGCGCCAAGGGCTCATGTCGCGCAGTCTCCTGCATTTGCAGTTCTTCGATGCGTTGCTCTATCACCGCCTTCTGCTCGTTGAGCGCTCTAATTTGTCCGTCTCGCTGTCGGCCACTATCAGCATCACGGCTTTCGGGAATCCTCCTCGCGCGACCCGGATCGTATGCGGGTGGTGGCTCACGTCGTTCGTACGCTGTTTGTGTACTAGAGATGGTGGAAGACATGCTCAAATCTCCCGCGTACGGGCCATCGACATGCGATGGCCCGCGACGGTGCATAGTTTTCAAGTCCCGCATCAGGCGGTCCTTGGTCAAGCCCTCTCGAGACCGTCGCCTCATGGCAAGGAGGTAATAGATTAGGCAAAGGCAGAGCAATACGAATGCGCAAGCACCCACGGCGATGCCAATACGGGCACCCATGGACAAGGTGCGAGATACGTCATCTTGATCTGAGCCGATTCCCAGTTCCTTCTTGTCCTCAGCTGTAAATTGCACCTGAATGGTGCTGACTGCCAACATGGCACTATACAATGTTGTTGTGTATTGGGTAAGAACATCGTATGTACCTGCTATCGTGTCGTAGGTGATGGGCACGGCCAGGCCTGTCGCCACGGAGCGTCTACAGTCTGATCCACGAAAAGTATATCCACTTACGTAGGTCAGCGTGAAAATCGACAACAGCAATCATTTGGTCAAGACTTACTAGGAGCAGCAAATAGCCGTAGTTCTATCTGTATTCGATTGGACTGATGCAGTCGTCCACCCACCAGGGCATGTACCTGGACTGAATATGCCTGTGCGACCATATGAGAACATGCCATTAGGATAACACGACAAAGTGCTGGCTCCGGGCATGGGCTCGAGGTCCAGAAATGCGACGGCGCCTGGCGAGGCAGTCTCTTCGGGGTGACTGACAACATATGTCCAGGTGCAGCTCTGAGGACTTCCCCATGGCGTCGTCAATGCTGGAAGGGTTGCGGTTGTTGAGGTAGGACTCGTACGTGTGACAGATAGCAAGGTCGATGTTGTTGATGTGAGAGGAGACGGTTGAGTCGAAGTAGAACCAAGTGCTGGTTGAGGAGACGCCATTCTGCGGCGATCGACACCAACAGTGCAGCCGTCCCGCTGGTGATGTGATATGTCTTTGCAGTCGACCCAGACGTAGCTCGTTGTTTACGGACAAGGTTTCTCGAAGTGACAATATGGTCATTTGTCAACAGCTGGAAATGCTTTTCCGCATGCGCGGGAACACATGGCCTTCAAGACGTCTTCCGAAGATGGTCTTCTAAACTAGGCTGCGAGGATTCAGCAGCTCGATTGACGACATATACGCGGTGCCCTCTATCCGACAGAGTCTGTAGCTAGACTGATGACGAGGCCAGACACACAAAGGGCGGTGCTTGGACCAACACCAAGCGACAGCTCACAGTCGGAGGGATGGTTGGACAGGCGAGGTTCTTCGGGATAGCTGACTTGATGAACCGGGAGCCTTGGACACGGCACGCATGAATGGCCAACCAGGGCGGTATCTAGATGAAATCCGACGAGGAAGGACAAGGCCGTATATGAATGCAACATATCGCAGCACATTGCTCTGCTGGAATTGCTGGGGGGGGACGCCGGCTCAGCATGAAAAGTAGTTTGGGGCTTGGGCTGGAGCTTCAAGGCTTGGCAGTTATCTCATGAGGGCGAAATGAAGACGACGCCGAGACTGCCAAGCCCAACAACATTGAGCGCCAGGCTGCCAAGTGCGCTGCCCAAGTGGCTCGGCAGTCCAGCTTTTCGAATCTCAAAACTCAAACCCGCCTCCCCGACATGGCGATGCCGACGAACCCAAGGCGTCCCTTGTCTTCATCTCACAGCAATCGGTGCCAAGCTGTCCCATGGCTCTGATTACAAGCCGGGCCGTGTATCAAAATAAAATTGCTTCATGTGGCAATCTGGGCTAGTGCCTCGCAACTCCCCATGAATGGTAAATGGAAGCCGTCGCGCTCTTTGGCCCAGCGGTCCAGCGGTCCAGCGTTCGCACCTCTGCCCGGCAACGTGCATGCTGCTGTAGTTCGCGTTTGTGAATAATGACAGCGTAATGCATTTCGTGGAGCACTAGGCTTGCCAAGACGCGCACAAGCTTGGTGTTACGCCGTACTGCCCAGTAGTAAATTACTCGTTACATTTGTTGCATGTACACCAGACTCGTTGGTCGGAGCCGACTGAGGCTGGCACCGGTGCTGCCCGCCGTCGCCCTGCATTCAATCTGTCTGATGAGGGAGAATACAAAACTCTATATGCGCGTGCGGGGACGCGTTCTGAATAGTCACTGGTCTACCGGGTACACTTGGCGGTGATATGACACGAAGTACGTATGTGCTGTTCTCGCCAAGGGAACTGGCACAGGAACCGACATACGGGGTACAACACGGAGTAGTACCAAGCGTCGATTATGGAAATTCCCAGGGCTTGGCCATTTTCTGGTTGGACCAACACGGGGGAACCAAGCCATCCAGTGACATGTAATCCTCCGTGGCGGTTTTCCAGTCCTCCTTTCGCTTGACTTTCGCTTGGCTTGACCTGCTCGGTAATATATTACCGAATGCTCCAGGGAGCACGGAGTTTTGGGGGCGAGACATATCATACAGGTGGGTGGAGCGTTATGTTTTAACAAATCCGTCCCTGGTGAATTCCTCACTTGCCAAGATATACAGACTGGTCTCGTCACATTCACGGTTGCAGTCTCAGAAGAATGTGCTGTCGAAAAAAAAATCATGGCAAAACCACCCGCGCATCAGAAAAGCAAGAGACATTCAGCTGAATATGCTCCGTCTTGTAAAAATCGAATGTTATGACCAACATCACTCACAAAACAAAGCCGCAGTACGTCGAGGGTCTCTGGCCCGGGAGGCGGATGACAACTGAAACACTCAGACTTGCAACAGAGTGAATTCCTGGGGTCGGGTCATGTGATTTGTCTGGTTATGTAAGACGAGCTCCCACAAATTGAAATCTGTGTGAGGGAAAGAGGAAAGAGGGTCGTCGCCTGTCCCCCATACCACGTGATGTGAGGGGTGAAGGGCATGAAAACCCTACGAGCAAATTTTGGAAGTGGATAGTTCGTCAATCCGCAAGCGACTCAACAGCCTTCTAAAACGACTCCATCCCGGCCACCACATTCGCTCGTCGATACCGTGCATCGATAGGCGAATCCGAAATCAACACAACCGCGATCATGGCTGACGAATACGTATGTTCAATTCCTCGATGTCCTCGAACACTTTCCGGGGCGCCGACGACGCGGCGGCCGTGCTGGAGATAGACGTGCAATTATCCCGATATTGTTAGTGGCATAGGTACTGACCATGGTTTGTTCTGCAGAACGCCGAGGAGGCCGCCGAGCTCAAGAAGAGAAGAGCGTTCCGCAAGTTTTCCTACCGAGGAATCGACCTTGACAAGTATGTTGCTTCATACAGCCACAACGCCAAATAGACTATTTATTACACATGCACCAATCCTTTACGCCATGCGAAACGACCCCGATCTCTCTTTTCACATCGTCGTTCAAGAATAGCATGATGCTAATTTTCTTTTCTTCAGCCTCCTGGACCTCACCTCAGACCAGCTGCGTGATGTTGTTCACGCCCGTGCTCGCCGCAGGATCAACCGTGGCCTGAAGCGCCGCCCTATGGGTTTGATCAAGAAGCTCCGCAAGGCTAAGCAGGAGGCTAAGCCCAACGAGAAGCCTGACTTGGTCAAGACTCACCTTCGCGACATGATTGTCGTTCCCGAGATGATTGGTAGCGTCATTGGTATCTACTCCGGCAAGGAGTTCAACCAGGTGGAGATCAAGCCTGAGATGGTTGGCCACTACCTTGCTGAGTTCTCCATCTCATAGTATGTTTATTTCCCATTCAAGCACATTCGAGCAGGAATGATGTGGATTGGACAAAGGCCATTATGAGCACGTTTCCTAACAACCTTTGCAGCAAGCCTGTCAAGCACGGCCGACCCGGTATTGGTGCCACCAACTCTTCTCGCTTCATTCCCCTCAAATAAGAAGGTCGTTTTGGTGGTGGTCTTGGGTGATTTTTGCATTCACGGACATTTATGGGCGAAAATGGACTGGGCTTGGTAGAGTGGCGATGGCTCTATCGAAGGTTGCTGTGATGACTATGAGTACCATGATAGTACAATAAGGATGCATCGTCGCTTTTTGCATATCTCTGTGTCTCGCAATTTGGGCTTAGGTTCGTGTGAAATTGTATCCCTGATTGTGACGCATAGTACCGTACGGACGAGCCACTCAAATGTCGCTTTGAGATTGCTGTGAACCATCGCATAGCCTTGGGACATCGAAGCAAGAATAAGAGTCTGTGAGCCACAGCATCACCATAGCATCAAGCCATAGCCATCTATTCCCGTGGATACCACGGATTGACATTACCTGCCCCGCGGGGATCATGCCTCTACACTTTTGGACCGTCTCACAAATATAGTGGCCAAGGGAATACCGGTAGCATGAGGGAGTCCAGTCATCAAACATAAATGGCTATAGTGAATATCAACGTGGCAGTTGCACGAAGACGGAACCAAAACAACCGCACATGGCCCATTACCAGGAACGAATACTTTATAAAAAGAATAAGAAGAAGACGTCTCTTCTATATGGACATGACACGATTTCCTCTCTATCGCGATTAACTATACAGTTTGCTTCCCACGGTTCTATACCTTCTGCTCGGCCAATTTCTTCGCTTTCCTGTCCTCGTCCTCGAGGTGCTTCTGCTTATAGTGCTCCACCACATGGTCAAGGTTCACAAGGTGACCAGCTTGGATATTCCTGGGAGCGTGAGATTGGAAAGCCCTGAAATTAGGAACGTCAGCCAACGTTGCTAGTCCCAATGATCCAGAGGGGAGAAGTGTGCCGCTGGTTGACAGGGCCAAGGAAACATACTCAGGGTACGCAACGTCAACGAATCTGTGCTTGTTGGAGGCGTTCTCGAAGAGGTTTCGGTCGAAACCAGCCTGTTCCATAGCCTTGGTGTGCAGAGCATTGGTCTCCTCCCAGTCCTCCTTTCGCGAGAGATACTTATGGATCAGGCTGGAGACGGATGAGTCCTCGCCCTGCTTGGGGGCAAACTGATATAACAAGACACCTCCGAAGAAGGCGGCAACGGTGGCGATGGATCCTTTCTGCAACGGCGCACAAGAATTCCTCCGGTTAGCCAGATTCAATGCTTCGCAATGGGGGGGGCGGTGCGGCTGGTGCGGGAGCGCCCTTCTCCCCCAGAAAACGTACCCCGAAAGACTCGTTGACCTCGGCGGCCTTGTGGTGGCCATGGGCGTCGGATGCGTAGGTGCGAGCTGTCCGCGGAAGCTGACGGGCAATATGGCCTGCCCTTTGTCGTGCGGCGAACATTTTGGCGGACCTGACGACGTCAATTGTTGCTGGTCGTGGAGGGGACGAGCAGAAGAGGCGACGGGGCCAAAAGGTGAGGTTGTATGGTGTTGCAATCCACTTCCGTTTAGGTAAGCGGGCGCCGGCCAATCAGAGTGTCGGCTTACATTTATCCCAACCTAGAGCGTTACACGGAGGACTTACACGATATCAACTTTCACAATCTTAGACTTAACACGGGTGCAATCGGCGATGCAATCCCCGCGGTTGCCTTCACAATATCTTTTCTCACGAGACGTCTTACCAATCTCGGTTTTATTGCGTTCTGTGTACATGACCACATAAGGGTATCGCGCCGAGTGGTAAGACGTAGCACAATGTTGTACCAAAACACCAACGATGCACCGAACCTGTATAGAGGCCTCTGGAGAATGCTGCCCCCCGGGTAAAGTTCCTCGCCCTTCTGGGACCCTGCAGAGAGCTTTCTAGCGAGAAAGCCATGTGCCGACGCCTAATCGCCAAGAATGTCAACGTGGCAATATACAAGCGTCGTTGGCCGAAAGCCATGTCTCAAAAAGCAAATACCGATGAGAGACCGATGAGAGCGATGTGTCTGTAAAGTACAACACTGTGGCGGCGAGTGGCCTCCTCTTTCTCCGCAACGGTGAGCATGGCTGCATCAACTTGTTTTCCTCACGCCCAATCGGACAATCCTAAGGAAAGCCCTCTTCCCGTCTCGCAGTCGATGAGCAGCCTGCATATGGCAGCCAATGCAAACTCTCCCTCTAGGCCAGCATCCTTGGACTTTTAGGAGTCTTATACCGGAGAGAGACTGCTACTGATCCCAGAAACCCGGAATGTGAATACCATTCGCAACAAAGAAGGAAAAAAAAAGCCACGATACTCTGTGAATGATTGTGGAGAGAATTCGTCCACCCCTCCTATGAAGGATCATTGCGTTCCTGCATGTGTAACACGACTATTTGTGACGAGCTCGAGACGGAAATTGTGTTTTAGCGTACGGTTGTTGAGCTGGGCAGAGCAAAAGGGGAAGGCCTCTTGTGCTCAGAAGTCGAGGCTAGCAACTCGGACTGTATTCGTATAAAACGGCTCTTTCTTTTTCGTTGTATTTTTGCAATCCAACTGGACAGATGTCAGATATGCCGTTCCGGTACCAGCAGCATCATTGGCCAGTCCCATGACTTGGTTTTCTTACCAAAGGAGAAGACCATAGCACAATTCACGGCTCACGGCACTAACACGGCTTCCACACCTTGATGCGGGCCAGGGAAAAGAGTGCTCATCACAGATCGTGGTCAATGCAGCTTCTAAACAAAAGTTCAGGGCCCATCTTCAAGACGTGGTGGGGAATTTGAGTGAACAAGCGCATGAGAAACAATCGCCCTTTATGAATCGTGTGAATCTTCAGCAAAGGGTTGAAAATGGCACCGATGGCAGTGCAAACTGTCACAATTCGCCAGTCGTTAGCATATAAGTCTCTCGTATCAACGCCTTCTTCAACTCTCGGTCCCTCACCATCAAGCACATCATATAGCCTTGACTCGGAAACAATGGAATTCGCTCAGGTAGTGCAGAACTGCAACAAGTTCTGTTTCAACAAAGAACAGGACTCGTTATTCCGGTTCTTCGTTTTAGACCATGACAAGCCTGTGGGATATATTCTTTCAAGCTTCATCACGGAGATGAACTGGAATGTCCGCGGGTTCGAAATCGATCTAGACAAAAAGACCGTGCTCTTGAACATAGAGCCTAGACCCGGCGAGTGCATGGCACACGCTTGCGACAGAGCATTTGTGGATTTCTGTGCAGAAAACATCGACAAGATCGACCGACTCGACTCCTGGCTTCAACAATACTACGAAAATGACTCCCCAGAATACCACCCTATCCTCGGCCTTCCACCCCGAATTTCCTGGCTAAAGGTTCCTTCGCCAGTACGTGGAGTATTCGGAATCGTTACTGCGGGAGCCCATATGACCATGTACACCTTCAAGAGCGGCAACAGCATTCCGCACATCTGGGTCGCCAAGAGGTCGCCACACGTTACTTATGCCGGAAAATACGATCAGCTTGCTGCCGGTGCTGTGGCGCCCAGCGATGGAAATATCCCGATTAAAACCATGGCCAGGGAGGCTATGGAGGAAGCTGGCTTGATGGTCGACGTGGAAACCTGCCAAGTAGCGACAAGGCAAGGCGAGCGCTTGGGGACTCTTGTTGCCGGTCGTTTGATTTCGTTTTACGACAGGAAAACTAAAATCGCTGGCTCGGAAAGTGGGCAGCTGGAACCGGGGGTTCGCTACACTTTCGACCTCCATGTGCCTGAGTGGTTTGAGCCAAAGCCATGCGAGCCCGATGCCATCGAAGGCTTCCAGCTTCTTTCGGTTGATGAAGTGAAAAGGTCTTTGAAGGCAGGAGACTGGAAGCCTAATTCTGCACTCGTGATGCTCAGCTTTCTCGAGGAAAAGGGTCTTCTTGGAAATGGAGAAAAGTTGAAGCTGGATGTTTTAAACTCCATCCTAGAGTATGAAATTGTCGGTTTCGATTGCAATTGATTCGGAGTATCGGGTTTGCTTGTGCATCGGGAGAACCCTCTAGACTCTACATCTCTAGCCCAACCACTGTCTTTGATGGCCATTTCGGGCCACGGATGGGTGCTCCTCGAAAGGTCATTACTTCTTACGGAGAGTATGCGACTTGCGTTTTGAACATGTTTCGTCTTTTTGTCTGTTTTGTTTCCCTCGAGAGAGAGATCGAAGGCGACGTCAAGAGTCTTCTTGGATCACTGAAGCAAAATATACTGGGTACTTGCCTCCCTACGGCCGGACTAGGACAGTTGCATTTTGTGCGCGTCTTCTTCTTCTTCTTCTTCTTCTTTTTTTTTTTTTTTTTTTTTTTTTTTGCTCATTCCACAGTTTAATTAGACAAAACACTCTGGTAAGCTCCTGAATTAATTCATGTGGGCAAGGGGTTGCAGTGTCTCTTATGTAGACTCGTACCTCAGTAAAAATTCTGATATATTTCTCGTGCTACCACAATTCGACGTTCATGCATTCGTCACGCGTTATCCCCTAAAAGCAGCGAAGACTACAACTAGGTCACAGTATCCACAGGGCCCTGGGTAGCAGCTGGTGACGTCAAGTGACATTAATAATAGTGAAGATTATAGCGTTTATGATGTAGCGTTTTATAACCTAGATTTTTATGGGCACTTATATTATTATATAAAATGTTAAGGGATTAAGGTACCATGTAAACTTAAGCTTTCAATTGGTTGCTTATCCCCGCAGCTACATAATTGTAGTCTTCGCTGCTTTTAGGGGATACACTTTACCTGCCATTGACTTACCTCAAACGCACTCTCATATCAAGCACTAATAGCTTTGGTAACATTGTCATCCCACCACTGTCGCCAGTCGACAATCCTCTTGTTGACTCTGGCGTCTTCGGCTGCAAACACCAGCGCGTGACTACGAATGACATCTTCAAGAGTACATCCCACAACCTCATTCTGGGCCTTCTCCCCACCCCACCCATGGTTCTTGACCTTGTCGCATGCCAGCACAAACTGTTGCGCAAGACCCGTATCACCGCCACCGTGTCCAAGATCAGTAACAGTAGGCTCGTATGTCTTAGTCTCTCCTGTGGCAAAGTTCTCCACAACAATCTTCCTCGAGTCGGCGTGAATCTCGCCATGCTCACCGTAGAATGTGCTTACTCGTTCGCACTGTCGCTTGGTCTGTGCGGACATATGGAAGGTGACACGCTTGGCAGGGCGTACGGACTCGGGCCAAGTGATGGTGACGAACTGTTCGTCACAGACATTGTTGTCTGTTTCGTAGACGCAGCGACCATACCATTGGCGTTTGCTGACCTCTTCCTCAGGAGTCGATTCGTCCCAGTCTTCGCTAAGGGTCTTGACCATGACCTGGCGGCGCTCTTCGTCCGTCTTGTAGTCCTCAATGTCGTGGACGACGATGTCAACGGGCCACTTGGTGTTTCCGCGCGCAAGCCCGATTCTGTCGCCCAGGTAGATGTTTTTGGCGGAAAACTTGCAGCCGGAGTCTCCGAGGGGACACTTCATACAGTTGGTGGCATTTCCGGCGGCGGCGGGCTTGCGGCTCTTTTTAAAGAATTGCACTCCGCCGGTCGAAGTGATGTAGTCGGGGAGATGTGGCTCTCCTTGGCCAGCTTTTGCGGGTGCTGAGACGAGCCAGAGCAAGAGATCGATGTCGTGACAACTCTTGGTCAGTAGAGATGGCGCAGAGGTCTTATCATTCCTCCAGTTTCCTCGGACGAAAGAATGGGCAAAGTGCCACCATCCCACAGGTTCCGTGTGGACAACACTATTCACGTCACCAATCACTTGCTCATCGACGAGTAACTTTCGCAACATGATATTGTGAGGGCTGTATCTTAAGACGTGTCCGATGGAGAAAATCTTGGAGCCTTTCAAGGGCTTGACAGCCTTGTACATTGCCAGGCAGTCGTCCATGTTGGTCGCCAGCGGCTTCTCACACATGATGTGCAGATCCAGCTCGGCAAGAGCTACGACAACTTTTCTGTGCATATCATCAAGGACACAGACAAAGGCACCGTCGACGCCCTCGGGGACCTCTTCACCCACGGCAGCACGCTTTCGGCGGTCCTTTTCGTAGTCGACAAACTCGTTCCAGCTGGTAAAGGATTGCCCTTCTTGGGGGCCGCCGCTGCCCCAGATGTATTTCTGACCAAGTGTCTCTCGTTTGAATTTAAGGGGCTCGCAAACTGCAGCCACCACTCCATTGGTGACCTTTTCAATGGCGTTGGCGTAGGCGTTACCTCGCGAGCCGGCGCCGATGATGATGAAGCGGGGTGGAGTTTGGGACATCTCAGGTTTGTCGAGAGTCGTGGTCGCCGTGTTGGCAAACTCTGGGTCGACGACGCCAGCCATAATGGGAAGAAAATTGGGGATATATCTGCGCCTTAAAATACCTTCTATATGTCTCAAGGATGCAAATTCACGCCGCACATGGAGTATTTGATGCCGAAAGTGGTTCGGATCGACTTGAGCTCTTGTAAGCAATGATGGGGTGCAAGAAGCATGATGGGATGCTTCATTTATGTAGGTGGTTGAAACGAAGATCCACAAGGCCTCCGGCAACGGAAAAGGAGGGGATACAATATGCAGGCTGATAAACCTAAATATATCACGAAAGACAAGGTGACGATCTTAGTTCAAGATTGGAGCTTCCCGAACGGGGAGGGTGGGGGATGGTAGGTAACAAGGCCCGCGGAGACTGCCAATCATAGGTAAGCTATTGAGAATCAGTGGACTTGAGGACACCCCACGTAACGTTTCAGCACTATGCGGCCCTAGCTGGGGCGTTTCGGGGACAAAGCGGGCCAATAGAAGGTGACTGACGCGACAGATGGGGCACCCTTTGCGCTGAACATTGAACACGTGCAAATTGAGGGAGTCCCTTGTCTCCCTCCAAACAAGACCACAACAGACCAGTTGACCACATTCATCTCCACGAGTACGCTGGCCCGTTCGTCACTCATACCTGGCGTTCACCGAATAACGTTTTGCAATTTTGGCCGGCGTGAGTCTACTACTTGGGAGATTACAAGCTTTCCGAGTGGAAGGCGGCGTCTGTTTCCGTCGGCCAAAGGTCATACATATATCATTGTACACATCCGACATGTCACAATCGGCCCACTTCACAAAGCTGGACAACTCTGCCCAAAGTGGATCACCTCCACACATCGTAGAATTCAGTTGGGACACATGGAACTTCAGCATCCATTACCTCCGCTACCAGCCAAACTTAAGTAGGAAGCTTCGCCCCTGGATTCAATCCATTGCTGACAGGTCAAGCCAGTCAACTGCTTCCTCGTGGCTTCGTATAGCGTTTAATTGGCCAATACTTTCCGCTCCAACAAAAGCTTGGCTGCTCAGTGCAGGGGCGACAGGCAACCTTCAACCAACGGCCATGGCACCCGGAGCCGGTGGTGCCCCGCCTTCGGGTGCAACGACGGATGATCCCCTTGTCTGGATTGATTGCGAGGTAAGTTCTCCGGTCTTGTCTCGATTTGGGACCGCGAGGCTTGCTCGCGGGCGGGAACCCTACCGGCTACATGTCGGTGTAGCTCAGCCCGGACATTGTACTCACATGGTCATGATACTAGATGACAGGGCTGAACCCTGACACGGAGGAGATCATTGAGATATATTGCATCATCACGACTGGCAATCTAGAAATCATAGATCAAGGAGGATACCACGCTGTCATTCACTGTCCTGCCTCCCGATTAGATCAGATGGATGAATGGTGTACTCAAACACACGGCAACTCTGGTTTAACCGCTGCCGTCCTGGCATCGTCGACCACACCCGAGCAAGCTGCCGGGGGACTGTACAATTATATCACGAGCTTTATACCCGAGAAGCGCAAGGCTTTACTGGCCGGGAACAGCGTCCATGCAGATAGGGCGTTCCTGCGAAGAGAGCCTTATGCCAAGGTCATTGACCACTTGCACTACCGCATCTTGGACATTAGTGCCATCAAGGAGGCTGGCAGAAGATGGTGTTCGCGGGAGATTATGGCTCAAGCACCGGCCAAGAAGGGAAGGCACCTGGCTAGAGATGATATTCTGGAGAGCATCGAAGAGGCCAGGTATTATCGGCAGGCAATTTTTCAGCGAGTGTCGTAAAGGTGGCTGGGGCTGATGTGATAAGTATGTGTTGTGGTGTGACTGGGTGGTTTTTGGTGGTTGGAGACCGTCCGACGATCCAATAATCCAACATTGACTAGACGGCTTATTATGAGCCCAAATTCACTCAGTACTACCGTCAACAGTCCCCATCCAACTTAACTGCCCCGTACGGGATCCCATTGAATGTCTTTAGGTACAATGATATGCGATAATATCCCCCATTTAACGTGGATGTCCTCATCGCAATCCCCAACCCCCCAATGGAAGAGAAATACCGCCGCCGCCACGTTGAGCACCGCGTTTCAATAGTGTCCACACACTGGTCGTTCAGATCGACTCTTATTACACAGCTGAACCCATGCATATCGCAAAATCCCGCCAATGTCCACACACTGTACAGTAAACTCTGATGAGCCGCCAATCCCACAGTGTCGATTTGACACGTCGATCAACCCTGGCGAAAACAGCCCCTCTCACAATCCATGATATCCCCACTACGTCAACCCAGCTCCAACGAGCTTCCCCTCCCCCTCCCGATCTCTTGTCTCCCAACGGCTTGAGCTCCTCTAATCTGCCGTTGGCCATTCTAGCCAATTTGTCTTCTTCTCTATTTTCTCAATTTCCAAAATAAAACCCGTCTCTGAGACATAGCCATAATGGATATCAAGACTGTCGAGTTTGAGCCCTTCCAGGACCAGAAGCCTGGCACGTAAGTTCCCCCTGTCGCTGGCTTTGGCCCCTCCATCACATGAGGTTAACACAATTGATATTCAGGTCCGGCCTTCGCAAGAAGGTTACTGTTTTCCAGAAGCCTCATTACAGCGAGGCCTTCGTCACGAGTATTTTGTTGTCGATCCCTGAAGGAGTCAAAGGTTAGTTCGAATTTGGTGCATCGAAGCACAGGCTTGCCAAGCCCCTGCAAGCTCGCCAGAGCTAATATCCGTGCTTGCCAGACTCATTCCTCGTCATCGGCGGTGATGGTCGATACTGGAACCCCGAAGTGATTCAACTGATTGCCAAAATCAGCGCTGCCTACGGTGTTAAAAAGCTTCTCATCGGACAAAACGGTATTCTGTCGACGCCGGCGGCGAGCCATGTCATTCGACTCCGAAAGGCCACTGGCGGTATCTTGCTCACCGCTAGCCACAACCCAGGCGGTATACTTTGCTCCCCTCCTCTAAAAGATGCAACACACGATGTTGATTAGAGGCTGACCTCTCCTGGTGACTTCTTTGCAGGGCCCAAGAACGATTTCGGCATCAAGTACAACCTTGCCAACGGCGGCCCTGCCCCCGAGTCCGTAACAAACAAGATCTACGAAACCTCCAAGACCCTCACTTCATACAAGCTAGCTTCCATCCCTGAAATCGACATCTCCACCGTTGGCACTCGCACCTATGGTTCTCTCGAAGTCGAAATCATCGACAGCACCGCCGACTACGTCACCATGCTCAAGGACATCTTCGACTTCCCCACCATCAAGAAATTCTTCAGCTCCCACCCCGACTTTAAAGTGCTCTTCGATGGCCTCAGTGGTGTCACTGGGCCCTACGGAAAGGCCATCTTCGAAAAGGAGCTCGGCCTCACTGGCGCTACACAAAACTGCGAGCCCAGCCCCGACTTCAACGGCGGCCATCCAGACCCCAACCTCACATACGCCCACTCCCTCGTCGAGGTCGTCGATAAGAACAACATCCCCTTTGGAGCCGCTTCAGATGGCGATGGCGACCGCAACATGATCTACGGCGCCAACGCCTTCGTATCTCCCGGTGATTCGCTCGCCATCATCGCCCATCACGCCAAGTTAATTCCTTACTTTCAGAAGAATGGCGTCAACGGCCTCGCTCGCTCCATGCCCACTTCTGGCGCCGTCGACCGCGTAGCTCAAGCCCAGAAACTAGATTGCTACGAGGTCCCCACCGGCTGGAAGTTCTTTTGTGCCCTATTTGACGCCAAGAAGCTATCTATTTGCGGCGAGGAGAGTTTTGGAACAGGCAGCGACCATATCCGTGAAAAGGATGGCCTCTGGGCTATTGTCGCTTGGCTCAATATCATTGCTGGCATTGGTGTTCAAAACCCTGCAGTCACACCCTCTATCAAGCAGATCCAGAAGGATTTTTGGACCCAGTATGGCCGTACATTCTTCACCCGTTATGACTACGAGAATGTCGATTCAGATGGTGCCAATAAGGTTGTTGGTGTGCTGAAGGATCTGGTTGCTGACCCCAAGTTTGTCGGTAGCAAGATCGGAGGCAAGTTCACAACCCACTCCCTCATGCAGAAAGATATACTGACGAATTTGGCTTTGTTTTACAGAACGCACCGTCACAAATGCAGGCAACTTCTCCTATACCGACCTCGACGGTTCCGTGTCCTCCAACCAAGGCCTCTACGCGTGTTTCTCCACTGGCAGCCGCATCGTTGTACGTCTCTCCGGGACAGGCTCTTCCGGCGCCACTATCCGTTTGTACATTGAGCAGCACAGTAGTGACCCGTCAACATATGACATGGACGCCCAGGATTTCCTCAAGGCCGAAGTCAAGTTCGCTACGGAATTGCTCAAGTTCAAGGAGCATGTTGGCCGTGATGAGCCTGATGTCAAGACCTAAATGACACTTCAAAGAGTTTTTGTTCCTTTGTGCTCAGAATGACATGGAGATTTGAGATGGGATGTTGATTATGAGTCTTATGTTTCATGACATCCCGCTCACATGCGATGACAGATGATTGCATTCTAGCGTTTTCCAAGAAAATAACAAAATACGGCTATAATATAGCTTGAAACGTAATAAAAATTGAGATGAGATAGTCGTCCCGCTCGCTATGTTTGCAAACTTATTCATCAGGAAAGTCAACTTGGTATCAAATGCGTGCAAAAAAAAGTGAGAGAAAAAAAAATGGGGACGGGGAACATGACCTCCCTGCCTCCCTGTTCCAATAACGCCAAAGTAGGACCTAAAATTCAATCTTTTTGGATTCCGGGCGCCAGGGATCATCGTTTCATTATCATTTCAGTCGTGAAGCTACCAGTTGAAATGGGTAAAAGAGGCTTTCAAAGTGTTCAGCAGCTAAAGGTATATCAGCAAGGAGTCAAATGCTGCGACACGAGTCCTCCAAATAATAGTTATTATAAGCAAGACGTACCGCGATCGCTGACAAAGTTGATTTGAAACTCGCCAGCTGGTCCTTTGCGCTGACTATGTTCTCGATACTGCTTGCAGAATACAAAGAGTCGGATCTCCGATAGCCAGACTTTGCGACGAGAGGAGCCTCGCCTAATCCAGTTTGTGTATCTGGCTTGTTCGGTTACTGAGCTTCTTGTTAATATAATGTGGCATTTTTGATGTCAATCACAGCTGTCAATGGGCTTATTACCAAATGCAGTCCAGACAGGACATTGGCGCAGTTCGCCTTCCCAAACTGCTGCGTGAAGTCGAAGACCACCCGTGGCACCGTCTTGATATACAATCAGGGAATGGTCGAAGCCATCGTCAAATATACGCCTTACGGAATTGGTTAGTATACTTCCGTGTCGAGAAAGTGAAAGCCCTAGGTCCATACGCTTGGAAGAGCCTTTTCTCCTTGCCCAGTGCCAGCTCCTTGCGGCCGCATTGGAGGGTACGATGGTTCCTTGCCTTGAGGGATACGAAGGTGCAGTACATGAGGACTATATCTATAGCTGCAGTCAGCAATGTGTTTTGCAGAATGCTCGGTAGATACGGTTGTTACTGGTAGACTACACCAAGCCATACCTTCCCATGCGTTGAAACATAATCTGGCCCAAATCTTGGAGTTATTGGCATTCATACTCCAACGACGAAATTGCAATGAGTTGCCGCGTCTCTTGATGCAAAGTTCGTGGGCACCGCGAAGTGAAAACCACGGCTTCTCATCTTTGAACATTCGGAGGAGTAGATATGCACAGTCGTCTTGCGAGTTCAAGAACACGATAAGCGATACTTTATCACCGTCGAAGGACCTGTTGGAGTTAGTCAAATGGGTTGACGGCCTAAACATATATGTTTGACTGAAAGGGAGGGGAGTTTACTGTCGCAAGAGAACTTTCGAATACATCGGGATGTCGTAGTGACCTAGCTCATGATGTGGTCCCAAAGATATGGTCCTAACCCTCTATTTTAGAACACAATGCCAGCTTGGCAACTGACGTCTCTTGCTAGACTTACTGTGCCGCATTTTTAATTGGCGTCCGCGGCCAGGGAGAAGAGAAGATATGTTCAGCCCAGTGGGTTATCTGATATAATGGTCAGCATGACTCGGATGTTTATTATCAATACTGGCCGAACAGACCGGGTCCAATCGATATGGATATCCTGAATGGAGAACAAGCGGGCCTGCTTGAAGTACACACGGCGGGCCTGAACTAAAGTTAGAGCGATATCAGGCCTTGATTCAAAGCAGAGCTATCCAAGTTTGTCTTTACCTACCAATTCCCCTGGCCTCTCGTAAACGGAGTATTCGACGCTCGAGACTTTTCATCTTGTACCTTGAAGAGGGTGTTCTGAATTACATTGTTAGGACGAATCTTAGCCAGCGCCGCCACACGTAAAGATGAAAAGCCAACCTTCTAAGAAAATTCCGTAGATGCGTAGCGTATTGATAATAGATGTTGAATCTCTCGGGCAACGACAGGCCATTGACTTCATCCTTCATGCAATGATACATATTCCTCCATCGATTTTCCTTTGACAGCGAACACCGATCATAATGGGTCTTGATATCCCTCAAGGACTTGGACAGACAGGGCAACACAATGTTCAGGGGGTCCAGCACATAGGCCAGGCAGTCTCGGTTCACCTGAGCAATGTCGGCTAATTCGCGAAGACGACGAGCAACGCTACCGATTTCCCTGACGGTAACGGCCAAATAAGAAGTGCTGGGTTCGTTCAATGCAATACGCAAGCCCTCTAACTTGAGAGCAATGTCATCAGATCGGTATGCCTCCAAATAGCACCCCTTCAGCAAGATGACGTCGTCGGTCTCGGGCATGTCCATTTTCCAAACTTTGGATTATCGGACATGGAGCGGCTCTCCTCGGTTACACTCTTGCAAACCCAAAGGCCCTTGTCTCTCATCACTGGGGACTCGCCTGGAAAAGGTTCAACCGAAACTCTGCAACTAAAATGCCATTCTCGAGGATGTTAGAAATTCGATGAGGAGTGCGTATTTGATCTTGAAGCGTTTGGTTGTGCCCATGGCCGTGGTTGGGCACGGATCTCGTATGAATATACAATGGCAGAGTTGGGGGGCAAGAGCAAATGGAAACGGGGATGTTGATTTGTTATAGACGCTTTCCCGAACGACTGGCCATTGGAAAACGAGCGACACGAACAAGAAGGAATTGGGCCTCTATCACGGTGCACAATGCTTTTTCGAGTTGGTCCACGGCGACACGAAGTATGTCGGGAGCCGGGAGGGAAATGCAAGGTCGAGGGTCTGGGGAAGGAACTGGGCAGGTTTCCAGTGTCCACCCCCGACTTCGCGCTGCACCATTTGGCAAGAGCCGCATGGCCACCAGGAGGGCATGACTGCTTGGCCGCTTTAGTAGTCCAACGGGATGGGCTGCTAAAGCCAGACTTGACTGATCAGACAATCTTTTTTTTTTCTTTTGCTTCCCCTTTTCTTGTTCCCGATGGCCTGGGGTTCCATTCGTCGACCAGGACACGACACGGCAGCATGGCGCACAGAGGCACAGATCCTGATGGCATAGTCCCCCATACGCTATGTGCCAGACACGTACGATCTGGCTCTGGACTGGAGAGACTGGCACAAGTGTCGACGCTGGCTTTGCCTGCAGAAGATTGTGACTGGTGCCAAGTCAGAGGCGTGGTGATAATCATTTGATCAGTCTCGCGTGTAAACGCCATACACATTCGTCTGACCACTGTACGTTCTGCACAACAACCGAATCCCTTCGTTGAACAAGACGACGTGCTATCATGAATTCCTTTGCAAGTTTCAGCCATCTCAGCAACCAAAAACCCTACCGTGTCTGCGAGAGCCAGAACCGCCCTCTCTATTCTCAAACACCCCCCGACTATCGTGATACTATACTCCACTTGGCATCAGCATTAGCATCCGCGATTTGTGAGTGTGAGTGTCCGTAAGACTGCGTGCCTTTACATGCCTTTACACCGATAATGCCAGCAATGGCAATGGCACCCACAGCCAGACTGCGACCACAACCGCCAAGTGCGAAGTGCAGTCGGAGCCGAGTGTTCGACTCCAACTGCTCACAGACTGCCACGAAAGCAAGCCAGCCATGTCCGGACCCAGCCAAGCTTGTGCTTCATGCATGACAGTTGGACGGGCTAGACTGGACCGGCACTTGCAGCATGCATAGTTAACTAGTCGGTTCTGCGAAATAGTCGACTGCTGCATTGGGCCCGCAAATGACGCTTCCCTGGTGGCAGCCGTGCTCAATGATGGCGATGAGGCGGCTCTCGACTGCAAGATTGATCGGTCGGTATCCGAGGCAGATCGAAGCCGGCTGGTGAAAACAAACATTGTCGAAACACCTGGGCAGTATCGCGAGGCCATTCGCCCGCCATATATCACAAGACATGGCGGCTCTAGCTGTCTCTCCCTCGTCGGCCGAGAACCTCAAATAGTAGCAATTGAGTAGGGCACTCCCTCACGCAGTCAGACATTCATGAGCACATTAAATTCAATCATGCCCACTGTTACATGCGTTTTGTGACAGGTGCACAGAGTACTCTTATATTCGTACAAGATTTATCATTGCGTGGCCTCATAGACATTAAATATGATCATGATCAGAGACTCACGCCGACACGTAAAGCCTGCGACGTAATTTCGCCGTCTTTGATGATCACAAAATTGAGACCCAGTTCCATTTAGTTTCCCCGGAAAAAACAAAAAAGAGCGCGCGGTCCATCCGGCGCATCATACAACACCGCCCAGCCCAAAATACAAGGAAAAAAAGGTTTGCCAAAGGATGGGACTAGAGTACAATGATACGTCTTGACTCAACCCCAGCCTTCATTATGTTGCTTAGTTAGAGTCATCCTCGGCCTGCAGAGTAAATTAGCAAAAAAATCTAGGCACGCCTCTTCGCGAAAAAAAGGAAGTCTTACCTGGAAAGCGGCCTTCTCGTCCTCATACCGTTTCTTATCGGCGGCAGCCTTGGCCTCGTAAGGAGCACGCTGCTTGTCGTTCAAGGCCTTCCAGCGCTCACCAAGAACCTTGCCAACCTGGCCGAAGGTGATGTTGGGGTTCTCAGCACGGACGTTCTCGCGCTGCTCATTGGCGAAGAACATGTAAGCAGACAGACCACGCTTGGGGCCGCGCTCTGGTACTGGTCAGCCACGTTGTAGATTAACATGAATAAAAAATGAGACTTACTCTTCTTGCCATCGTCCTTCTTGCCGCGCTTAACCTTAGGCATTTTGAGAAGTGGTTAACTGAGGCGGTGGTGTTAGTGATAAAATTTCGGGTTTGGTGAAACTCTGATGCGTGCATCCAATGGCCGGGTGTGTGGGTGTTGCCAAGTGGCACGCAGTGGCCAAATGGAGACGGGTAAACAATCCTTGAAGGGGGCGCGATGAGATGGGCAGAAGGGAAGTGTTGGTGGAGAGAAAGCGCGTGTAAGTGATGAGATTGATTGTGAGTCCGAGGTGAGGCGCAAAGCCAATTGCGCAATCGCCACAGCTCAAGATGAGCCATTTCTGAGGGGAAAAGTGTCGCAAAAGCTGAATTGACCTACCTGAAAGCCGTTTGCGTGAAAACGAGAGAATGGTGTTGACTGGATGGTCTAATTCTCACCGTCGCTGGTCAGCCCTATCGATGGATCCAACGTTGGGGTATGCGTTGTGAGGGTTGAAGGATGAAAGCCAAGGACTCGAACAAAGCACCACGATGCAAAGATGCACACGGCTCTGGAGGCGAAATTGGAGCCGCAACAGATCCAAAAATGCAATCCGAAGCGCGGAAGAAGTGCCAAAATGCGCGGCAGCAAAACAATGCCAATGATGCTCTTGATGCGAGTGACCTGGGGTTGGCGGCGATGCAGGGCAATAGCGAGGTACTCACCAAAGGTCGCGTTGTGTGTTGTGAGGAAGACGCGCGAAGAGATTGTATGGGAGAATTTGGGTGGGAGATTTGTATGGGAGAGGAAGAGGGGAGAGAGAGCCTTTTTACTATGGGCGGGCCCGGCGGGCAGAGGGCGAGTGATTGTGTGGGCGCGACCGTGTGTGTGTTGAAAGTGGTCAATGTGGGAAGCGTGGGTGCGTGTGTGGAGGAACGCGGCTGGCCACACACATGCTTGAGTGGACTTTGATTGACTTGACACACAGTCCAGAAGTCGAGGTGAGTCCCCGTCTCGCAGTCCGCAGTTCCAAGTCCACAGCCCTCACTCAACTCCTGAGTCCTCACTCCCCCAGTCACCCAGGTCTGTCCAAGGTCGAGGCGAGAACCCAGCTTGCCAGCCAAGCACACTTCAATATTGCGCACTTGCGCACTTGCACCCTGCTTGCCTGCCAACCTGCCCAGCTAGCATTTGGACCCGGCTTAATATCTAGACCGCCAGCCCATCCGCCTGAGCAAACAAACACCCAGTGCCAGGCCACCGCTACCCGCCAGCCCGCTCCTCAAGCTGCCTGCTTGCTCAAGTGCGTACACACCTCGACATTCTAAAATCGACACTCTCGACACACTCGACACCACGTCGAGTACTCCGTACTCCGTACATTGATACAGAAGGGCCATGGACTGCAAATGTCGCAGGTGAACTCCATTTCTCAGCTACATACGTACAATTTTCTAGGGGTACTTGAGTACTCAAGTACTGCGTTTAATGACTTCTGGAGTGAGCACGCTCCGTACACGATACTACTAGGTACTTAAGTAGGTACACGTACCAGCTCGCCTAGTAGGTACATGGGGTCAATTCTCCGTACCGGCCAGCCAGCCAAGCTAAGAATAACATCGGAACCGGACATGGAAACCACGCCTGCCAGTTGTGGGCGCCTCTTACTACTCTGCTGCGCCCACGCGCCGTGCACGTCAGGGAAAGAGGGGACCACGAGCGAGGCGGGCCAAATTTTGTAATGATCCAGCTCGGCAAGAGTGACCAGAAACCAGGAAATAACGCCAGTGCTCCGTACTTCACTTCACGCCGTGTGGAGTACGGGAATGTTAAAGGGGCAATACTCCGTAAGCGGCCAGATGTCAACGCTCAGAACTTTGAAATGATGGAACGCCTCGCGCAACCCGCAGCGCAGGTCTCTCGTGGCTACGCCAGTTACAAGACACTAGGTACAGTTGGTACCGCGCGCAGTCGTACCACTGCTGTAGGGGGAATGTACTCCCTGCTCCCTGCTTAGCTCTTGCTTCCTCCGCCCTTCCTCTCCTTCTCACACTCCCACTGGCCTGCATCACACACTCCTGCCGCCTTCTCCCTTCGCCGGGCGGGTGTTAGGCTGGTCCAGGGATCCAGGGGGGGTCATGACTGGTCTCGTGCTGTTGAATGGCTGCGCTGCCTGCTCAAGTTCAGGTGTGTGGGCTTGGGGACCGACGGGGGTCATCGAAGGGACTGGGCGGTGATGCCCATGCGCGCGCCGACGACGGCTAATAATTTCGCGTGGTACTGTAAAGATACATGCGTGTCCCCGACGGTCGCGCCGATGTAGTGTACAAGGGCGCTGTACCACGTCTCCTTTTGTTGTATTCGCACTGTATACATTGGTGATCTCGAGGCAACCTGATGACGGTAATGCTGAACATTGGCTGTTCCTAGCTGCTCTTGGCCGCTCTTGCTCTTTGCCTTGCATTTGCAAGTGCAACTGCCTCTCGACCCAGCCAAAACGTAGCCCCCAAAACCACATAACGGCAGTTGTCATGACCTTTTCTCTCTCTTCAAATACATGAACATTAACTAAAGTGTCCAAGCCGCAGACTAATACCTACCTAGGTAGGTGTGCACTCAGTAGTCATGACTCTTTTTGTAGAGTATGATATCCAAGTCTCAAGCTAACAACTGAATACGTACTACGGAGTTACTTACGTCCATCCCCTCCTCATAATTGATATCGGTATTGCTTCTTTGCTATTATCGAACCGCTTCTTGCACATGCTGTGCTTCGTCTTTCATGTCTTATTGTTGACTAAAACACCTCTGCGGGTGGCTGGTTGAAACGTCACTAATGCCATCGAGACAAGCAAGATTGTCACTTGGCATGAGCACAGCTCTTTTTTTTTCTCTCCATGGCATGGCATGGACCGCAACACCGGGCTTTTGGCTCGCTATAATGATATTTGGAAGAACGCGATCAAGACGGTGGCTGGATTCAATGCACACCTGTGATTATTGCGCAGTTCACCAAACGTTTCAATCAGCGGGCCCATCCCTCAACTTGCGTCTATAATAAGGAGTAAGAGTTTAAAATAGCGCTGCTCGGATAATGGAACTATGAGCAAGACACGACACACTGTTGCTCATGGGTTGATGGGGTCAGAGTCAGACGCTGCCCATGCATGGATCGGGATGCAGGAGTTCCGGCGCAAATGAAGCGCGCACCACTACGGAGTAGACGCATCCAGCACCCAGCAGCCTCAAAATGGCCAAGGGTCTCTCTCAGAAAGTGAGATTCGTATAGCTTTGACAATATCTCGTATTCCTTTGACAAGCAAAGTTTTGGACTTCATGTTGCCAAAGTACAAAATCTTTTCTGACATCAAGATCAGATAACAACCTACAAAACTAATACCACCCTGCGAGACTTGTCGCTATTTGAAGGACAATCAATTTGCCGGATATGAAATATCTCGGTTCCTCCGTAGGTTCCGCCCCATGAAGCGCCGGCCCATTCTCTTCCATTTCAGCTGTGCGCATATGTACAACTACTGCCGCTACAATCTCTGGCCCTTCCATCCTTGCGTAGCCCGACCCAAAGAAGCCATGCGCGAGTAACTACAGGTAGTCTTTTGCGTGTGGCACCAAGTTGACGTACCCTCAATATTGCCCTATTCATCGCTCTGAAAAGCAATTTGACAAGTTATCCTGTGACGGAAGACATACCTAGGTACAGTAAGGTGCCAATGTAGCTACGTCTGCTTAGCTGAAGTATTACTCCAACAAGGACGACAGGGTTTACCATGTTCTTTTTCTAATGATAATATCTAGCAGGTAGTGAGTCTAGCAAGTGGCGCTAGTTGGGTACAGCACAATAAATTATGAGCCATGGAAACGACAGTCTCCAATACTCCGTGCTGCGTTTCCTAATCTGATTTCAGAGCTCGAGGTGACAGAGCGGGGTACTTTGCGGCGCACATGACGAAATGTATCGTCATACGACTATTTCTTGTACCGGTACATGACCCTTAGTATCCTAAGAAAGCCACATCCTGGTGGCACGCTTTGAGCTGTGTCCCAGCTTGCCAACCCGTAATAGACATACCAACCCCGCCTCGACCCTTGGATCATAGAGGGCCGGAGGAGAAGGAAGCTGACGAGGCTGGTGTTTTGGAAGCTCCGCCTGCCTATCCACTGAACCTCAAATAGGTTCTATTCCAATGTTGTGAAAGCTTTTGATTCTTTGAGATGTGAAGCTCACAAGCTAATAACTGCCTTGCTGCCTAGTTCAACACGGTCCAGCTGGTACCAGGCTGACATGAATAGCATGCCGCACAGAAATTCAAGGCGCTGTTGCCTCATTGAATACAGCGCAATCTGGAGCATTTGAGTCCGTACTTTATGTACGGAGTACTTGCATTGTAATACCCGGAGGTGTACGGAAACGGAGTACTCCGTACTACATGCCGAGGAGGCAGAAAGCGAGACGGTGAGAGCAGCATTGTGGAACAAGGCGCCTTGGAAACTCGTGTGGCACCTAAGAGGCACAAGAAACACGGGCGGGATAGGGAAACGGAGACGAAGTCGATCTCAATGCCTTCAGAGACACGAGCAACCGACCTGTGCTAGCCCAACCAAGACCTAGTCAGACCAGGACAACCCGGCGAGAGGCCATGTAACATTCATGAGAGTTCTATTCCGTCGCCATGGTTCTCGTCCCCGTCCATCTCCACCTCCACGTCCTAGCCGAAGAGGGACAAGAAGCAGGAGCAGGAGCAGGAGCAGGAGCAGGAGCCTTTGCGGCGTTGCGCGTCGACGTCGAAAGGTGTGGCGTTCCATCTCCCGCACCATTCCTTTGCCAGCAGCTGGACCCAAGCATATTTTTGGAGGCCAGACAAGGCTTGGGCCAAGAGCCACAGTCAGAAGGTACACGCAGCGACTTTAGGCGGGTACGCGACACACCAAATCTATGTTGCTGATGTAGCGGCTTTTCTTGCTGATACTGTGTTGTACCTGGTCGCCCAGCCAAAGGGGCCTGGGCTGGCTCTAATGTTTCCGACACTCTGCGTCCCCCAACTCTCAACCAGAAGTCCAGTTCCAAGTCGACTCGCTCTTCATTCTCCCACCAACCTGCCATATTTGCCGCGGATGAACCGACCGTCCGGCCCGTTTTCAATCCGCTCACATTGACGGGGCCTAACTGATGGGTTACTAGTTGCCTTGGTCGTCAATAATTGCGGGATTCAAACAAACAACCAGACCGACAGGCGCTTCACTCATCGTCCTTGACTTGCAGAAAACTCTGTGAGCTCTACGGCTTAACAGAGTAACATTCTCAACGGATCCTCATTGGTTTTCACGCGAACAACACGTCTTACCATGGCGTCAATGGACCAGTTCCGCGTCCTTAACTCCAAATCACCAAGGCGTATCACGTGCATAACAGCTCCCTCTTCGTGGTCATAGCTCCCCGCGTCAGGGTGGCTCCTCCCCAGACAGATCTAAGCTAGCAAATCTCAACTTTTGGCTACGTACATAATCCAATCCAAACCTCTGGCTTCTCGTGGGATAGTTCGTGGCTTTCCTGGGTGTTGCTCAGCCACGTGGGGTACGGTCACCGCCCAGTCGATGAGATATATCGGGCGCGGTGGTCGCATACGGAATAAATGTCGTACTCTGAGTAGATTGCTCACCTTGGAGTCTGTCCATGTCCGCGCAGAAAAATATCATGAGGTGCTTAGAAGAGTATCCGAATGACGTGTTCAACTCAGCCGGACGGACAGCTGCTCGATTCTTTTGGTGTGGACTATTTACGGCTGATCGCGCCCGATATTACTGTTCGTGTATTCTGGCTGGCTGCGAATACACTCACTGCCCTGCGGGATAAAGCATTCAAAGTTGGTAGCATACAGAAGAGCATTGCTCGTCCAGCTTTTGAGCTAGCCAGGGCATACGACCGCAACTCCCGGTCTTCAAATAATTGACCCTAATCAGATCGAGATACGGGCGGACATTGAGTCACATTCAGCATTTTGCCCTGTGCAAGGCCGCAGGGCCACAGGATATACATATACGGCCACGAAAATGTTTTACTTGGTACTCTGTGTGGCGATCGACGACGGCAGCTTGCTTGGCAAAGCCGGCACTAAGGCGTCGTCGCTGCATGACAAGGCAGCACTGCAGACTGGCATGAATGGCGGCAACGACCCACCGCGTATCATGCAGCGAGAGTCGCAACATGAGAGTTGTGCTCAGTACGGCCACATCGGCTTCAATCACGGAACAAATTCCGAGTTATGTTGTCCCGAAATCGTGGTTCGGGAACTTGTGCCTGTTGGCATTGCTATGCCAGTTTCGGAACTGTTTTGCCCCGTTAGCAGATGTTGAGCATGCAGCGATGCAGAGACGAGTAATGCAGTATAAAGTCTGTGTCTTGGTATCTCAACGCAAGCATCACAAATGGCTTATATCATGATGTTTTGGCCTCCTCAAGGATGACACAACATGACACCAATACAATCACTAACAGAGGGTTACGCAGCAATATTCAAGAGGAAACTGAACATCGTGGCCGCGTCTAGCCGCAGATAGCATTGATGCAATCAAAGTAAAACTTACTTTCTGTCGAGATGTATCTATTCCGCCAGTGCCACGGATACGTATCATCCTTTTTCTTATCTTCAGAAAACGCTTCCCATTTGGTAGAAGTGGTAAAATATGATTTCAAAACGCAACTTTCACGTAAACATCTTGCGGTGAGATGTAAAGCTCCCTAACGAAAAGTATTAAACATCCTGTCCTCCCCGGTTTGTCTGCCAGTTTACATTTTGCTGAACATGGGGGTCGCAAGGCTAACTCTACATCTACACGTAGCGTTAATTGCATGAGGCAGTAGATGCCAAAATTTGGCCTTGTGTGTTTAATCTCCCTGCGATGAGATGACGGCACAGAGAGGCACGTATGATATTCTATTTTGGGCGGGTATTTAAACTAATTTCGTGGCTAGTAGGGCTTGAACACTAGGAGCCGAGAAAAAAAAAGGCAGTCTCAAGCGATGATATCGCCGAGAACTGGTGCGGACGTATGTTGCCAGGGGACACTGCGATCAAAGTACGTAGGTAGTGGGAAAACACAATCGGGATTCAGTACCAATTAGGTAGGCATGAGAACAAATCCCCCGACGTCGAGCATGAGAGACTGGGTTCAAGAGCAGAGGTTCCGTATATCAGATGGGCAAACAATATTCAACTCCTGTAATCTCCCCACAGTAGACCATATGTATTCAATGGTCCCCGTTCCCAACCGACACCTATCATTCATCACCGTCAAGATCAAGAACAACCTCGCGCAACTTGGCATCCCTCGCCCAGTCCACTCCACTGCCCGCAACAATGCCACTCGCCACGCCCTTGATCACCCTCCACCGCTGCCTACTCGCCATCATCGCCACCTCCAGCTGCCGAATCTCGCTCTGCGTCTCCTCATCATCAAGTCGGCTGGCCTGCTTCTGCTTCACCTCCTCCGCTAGTTCGAACAGCGTCGACGTGAGACCAACGTTCCTTCGAATCACGCGGGCTGTGTCGCTTTGGACTTGGGTGAGGTCGTTCCGGATAAAGGCTACCTCTGTGGCGTGCTTCGCGACGTTTATGGCGGATTGGTCGCGCTGTTCTATAAGTGGGAGAAGATCTCTGTGAAGTACGTGAGCCTTTGTGAGAAAGTAGTCGGAAGGTACTGAGCCTCCTCCTTTTTTTTTTTTGTTTGTTGTTCCTTACTTTTCTGCAGGAGCTGCATTAGTGCCGTTGTGGACGGCTTTGAGGATGGGATTGGCCGTCATGACAGATTCAACCACGTCGTTGCGCAGGCGGAAGTTGGCTCTAGCTTCGAGGAGAGCTTGCTGAGTTTCTTCTGATACCGCTTCATCATTGTGAGATGTTTCTATATGTATGTTAATGCTGTTTTGTCAACACGAAGGGCAGTCGGACAGATATACTTGGTTCATAAGATGATTGAGTATTTATGATTGCAATCTCTAGCCTCAACTGCTGCAGCTGGTCGTATAAATCCAATACTCGCTGCTCATCTTCGGAAAGAGGTAAGCGGGCTTCAACCTCGTCGCGTTGTTCATCTTCATCGACCATGGATATGTCTTGAGCCTCCATGTTGCATCACGAGTAAGTAGTTGCTTTTGATTTTACCTGGAAACCGGTAGACGGATGTTTCCGAGTAGAACAGGCATCGATGCGTTCATGTCAATGTCAGATGATGCAGGTTCTCACTAGTCACGTTGGGCCCATGATAAGACGACGCGATTTTGGACGACTTGATTTGCGTCGGTTGACCGTGGCCTGTAGAGACGATTGGATGTCGATGGATAACATCGAATGGGGTGGGATCCACTGCAAGCATGTCACAAGGGCCCCCAGTGCCAGTTGATGGGCAAGTCAGCTGCAGGGTCCCCAGGGCCACTGAATGGCATCTTGCTTCAGGGTATATAGCTTGCCGTGTTTTAGCGCCAAGCCGTGCCAAATTGGGAGCACTTGAGTGCTTCGGCTGGTGTGCCTAGCCGGATCTAGCAGTGGCCTGCACACAAGTCTGGTTCATAATCTGGCATTGTATTCTGTCTTGGCCTCTACAGTAAACCAGGTCTATAACGATATCCTTCGTGAGGCTTTTTTCATCGTTATAAGGCGACTATCGTTAAGGTGCGACTATTATGGGGCTTGTACCTTTGACCAAATTTACTAGGTAAATATATATAATAGTATTATAAGGTACATATACAGAGATCGTATGTTGCTACGCAGCTTTAATTTTCCCTGCCAATTGGTGCGTGCATGTGGTGTTGAAGGAAGAAAAACGCGTTGAAGGCTGCGAAATTCAGCCCTTACAGTGGAGGCCTAATAACGATAAAAATACTAAAATGTATGGTGACTAAGCCTGAGGTTAACGATATCGTAAGTAACCCGACTATTAACGATTTACTAGGGAAAAACCTTAAATGACCGTGAATTATCGTAAAAACCCGAATATCGCTAAGATACAGGATCGTTATAGACATGGTTTACTGTATGTGCATCTTCGTCATACCAGACTCGACACCTCTCGGGGCGACGCTGGACAGTCGGGTTTCAGACGTCACTCGTCCGTTGTCTTTTCGCCCCTGCCATTTTTAGACCTTGCACAACACAGCACATACATTAACAAACAACAACAACAAACAGCACGCATCGCCGTCTGCCCGTTTCACCCCGTCCCCGTCACCGTCCCCGTCACCGTCCCCGTCACCGTCACTCTCCGCCTCGGCCGCTCCGCCTGCCACGGGAGAATGTCTCGGGAATGGCTACGCAGGTGTTGATTGCCCATACGGGCCAACGCCTCGAGGTAGATGCTTCACAGTTCTCGACGTATGTATTCCCTAGACTTCTGGAGCTGTCCCGGTGCGGCTTGCCTTCCTTACAGCCTCTGACTAATCGCACCAATTCACAGCATCGATGAGCTGAAATCATGGGTCTCTCGACACAGCTCCGTGCCACCCCAGCACATGGTTGCCCTGACTCCCCAAGGTCGCAGCGTCAAGTCAGCTAGTCTCCACGTCGAGGTCGGTACTACATGAGAAAGGATGCTCAAATGGAGGCAGCATGGGAAATGCCGATTGCTAATGTGGTTTACATCACAGAAGGAGTTGTATGTGTATGATATTCGAGTAACGCACGATTCATCCTCCAGCACCTCGACCTCACTGGTTCCTGACACGCCACTACCTCCGCGGTTATCAATACCAAACGCCCCGAACTCTATAGACGATGTGCAAGCTATTTCGTCATGGCAGGGTTTGTATCAAGAACGCCGCGCATGGGCAATCAAGTTGGCGGAGGAATGTGCTCGCCTCAATTCCGAGGCTATGGCTCGATACGATGAGATGGATGTCATGATCAAGTGCTTGGACGCCGCCGTTGCAAACCTCGAGATCAGTGTCAAGCAGATTGAGCCCAAGTACCACGAGCTGAAGAAATGGGTAGAACCCGCCTTGGCAGAACACGAGAACCTGGCTTCCATGTGGGAACCACATATTCGGCTTGCTCGAAACACCCCTATCTCGCCCGTCATGGTCAAGTTCATGACTCAAGGGAAAGTGACCAAGGGGAGCGTCACCTTGGAGGACCTTATTGAGCCAGAGACGGCTAGGAAGGCTGCAAAACTTGCACCTACGGCTCGCCGTAGGTTTGTCGAGAAGGCTGCCACGTTGGACAAACTGGCGTCTCAAATGTATCAGGGTTTAGAGGAGCTCATTGCAGACTTTGACAAGATTATGAATCGTTCGGCTTTGGGTCACAGCACTGACACGGCTCAACTACTCGATGATATCGAAGCCGTGGTTAACCAGATTGACTCAGACTATCGCACAGCCCTGGGGTATAGCGGCTCCCAGAGAGACCTCGCACAGGCATCCAAAACAGCATCAAATCATACCGAACGACTTGTCCCATCTCTGAAGAAGAGAGCTAAGGAAATGGACGACTTGGTACAGTACGCCACACTGGCTCGAAATTCTATTGCCTCGGAATCAGTTAGCTGCATGCGGACTATTACCGATGTAACCTCCCTACATAGCAATTTGCGAAGCCAGATCAACGTTCTAAACCAGTCCGAAGACGACATGACCACCTTTGATTACCTCCGACTTATTCATCAGCTCCCATATATGTATGCATCGTTCGTTGTCGAGGCTATTCGTCGACGTGAATGGGTTGACAAGGTCAAAACCGACTCTTCCACACTTGCCAACGAAATGGCGCTGTTCCAGGATGAGGAGTCAAAAAGGCGAAGGAAATGGCATAAGATGGTGGGAAGCATGTACGGACCGGCCTTGGATTCGCACGTCATTGGCCTTGAGGTGAACCTTCTGGGAGAAGACTTGCCCTGGCCGTCAATAAACAAGGATGATTTGAACACGTTCCTCCAGACCCTCCAAGAACAAGAAACAGATCAAGCCATTCTCAAAGACATCGAAAAGCTCGTTCAAGAACTCAACAGTCCCACAAAGCAGCAGTCAAGACGGCTCAAGGCATTTAAGAATGGCAGTGTCCACGAAGCGGCTCTAGGCAGAAGTGGGCTTATGATTCGTGGGGATGATGATCTTCTTCGCTCCTTGCAAGACGACAAGTGCAAGATGGAAAGCAAGCTGAGGACGGCCGAAAGCAGAGTCAGACGTCTGGAGGACTTGCTCCATAGGCAAAGCCAAGCATCCCGGCCCAGTAACTTGTTTCAGCCTCAGAATCAGCAGCCGCACGAGCGGCGAGATTCAAGTTCGTCTGTCAGGTCGAATCGACTAGATGATCGTCGGCGATCCTCCGATGGAGCTGACCCTCTTCTACGAAGAATTACCCAGCTAGAGAATGAGCTTCGAGAGGAGAAGCAGAAGTCGACGCGCATCCAGAAAGATCTCAGCAGCCGAGCAACAGAGCACGACGACATGAAGGACCAGATCCAAGAAGCTAATTCTACCAAAAAAGACCTGCTTGGAAACATGGAGGCTTTGAAGCGCGAGTTCATGGAGGAAAGAAAATCTTTAGAGGACGAAATCAAGATGCTAAAGGCTCGTCTGGAAGAAAATGAAGATGAGATGGAACACTTTGACGCGTCTCGCGAGAATGAGAAGGCTGCATTCGACGGGAAGATTCAAGAGTTCGAATCAAAAATCGAAAAGTTGGCCAAGGAGAGGACAGATGAGGCTTTGAAAGCTCAGGGTCAGGTCGAGTACCTTCGGAAAGAAGCGCAAAAGCATCGTGAACAGCTAGACACATCGATACGGCAGGCACAAGAAGCCAATGAGGAAATAGCCACACTATCAAAGAAGCTCCGGGAAGCAGAAGAACTCAACCAAAGTCAACTAGATTCACTCCACAAGATCCACGTCGAATTATGTCCCGAAGAAGCTGCTCCTACTGATTTGTCAGATCTGACGGAGTCGTCTCTGTCCCGCATTGCAAACCTGGCAGCACAATTGCGGGACACTGAAAGTGATTCGGCTATGGCCAAGGCGGATCTAGAGCATGCGTTGACATCCGTCAAGGGGTTGAAGGCAGAGATAAGTGACACAAAGGCGAAGCTCGCCACGGAAGAAGACGGCGCGGTGCAATTGCGCGAGGTTGTGTCGGAGGAGAAATCTAGGGTGGTTGCTCTTGAGAATGAGCTCACAGCCGCCCGGGATGACCTCAGTCAACTACGAGCGAAGTTGTCCGCCGGCGAAACAGGTTCTGAAACGCTACAGAAAAAGCTTGAATCAGCGGAGAAGAAGGTTAGCCAACTGACTGAAGACCTGGCATCTCGTCAGTCCCAAGTTGGCAGTCTGGAGGAAGAACTCCACTCCATCAAGCAAAGAATGGAAGACATGCAAACCAAGTCTTCGGACTTGACCGCGCACTATGATGCAAGAGATACGCGAACCAAGGACCTCACACAGAGACTCTACGCTCAGAGCGAACGTCTCACACGCCTTCTCGAACGTTGCGGATACGTTGTTGCGAGAAAGCCAGGGGAGATGACCATCACCAAAGTTGTACGATCGGACCGGACTACTCAGAACCCCAACGATTCTTCGGATCCTGGGAATTCCATACGTCGTTCCATCAGCCTGGGCACTAAGTCGATGGTGGATAGTGCGGATCTGGAATTGATGTATTGGATGAATGCGAGCGACGCAGCTGCTGAGTCGGAGAAATACTGCGCATTCGTAGAAAAACTTGGGTCCTTTGACATAGAAGTCTTCTCCGAAACAATTTACATGAGAATCAAGGAAGCAGAGCACAAGGCTCGGAAGTGGCAACGAGAAGCCAGAGCCTACAGGGATCGCGCGCATACTCAGCAGAAAGATGCGCACGAGAAGATTGCATTTAAGAACTTCAAAGAGGGCGATCTAGCCCTGTTCCTGCCTACGCGTAACCAGCAGGCAGGGGCATGGGCAGCTTTCAATGTTGGATTCCCGCACTACTTCCTCCGTGAAACTGATGCGCACCGTCTTCGCCATCGAGAGTGGCTTGTGGCAAGGATCTCTCGTATTCAGGAACGTGTAGTTGACCTGTCCAAGAGTCTTCAGCCAGCGAACGATTCCGAGTCTATCAACGACGATGAGAATGACAACCCCTTCCAGCTATCAGATGGCCTACGATGGTATCTCATCGATGCACAGGAAGATAAGCCTGGCGCACCATCAACACCCGGAATGGGCAAATCAACCGTTGCTTCCAATAAAGTTGAAGCAACGGCCGACATTCAGTCCCTTCCGATGAAGGCCAAGGGCAAGAATCGAGACAGCATCGCGAGCATTGAGGGGATCAATAAGAGCCTTTCAAAGAGTTTGGAGAGCAGACGTAGCAGCTCTGGATCGAAGAAGGCTCTGCCGTTCCCAACAGCTGGCGGGACAGCATTGCTGAAGAGTAGTGCCTTGGCCAGTGAAACAAACTCCCTCCGAGCCGTTGCACCAGATTCCCCAGCCGGAACGAGTCCCGTGCAAGCAGGAGCTGGACCATTGTCAAACGGCCCATTTCAAGCTAGCAGCTCTGAAAATATGACGAGCACGGAGACACAAAAGGACACGTCTGGCAATGAGGGAGGCGGTCTACAGCCTAGAGAGTCGTCAGCACAGGGAGCCGCAGGAAGTTCTTCCGAGGTACGAAATGTCGACTCCCTGCTAGGCCCGTAAATATTGCTGATCGCCATGTACGCAGGCCCGAATGAGTGTGCGACGGGAAGACTCAGCAGGAAGCCAGTCCAAGAAATCGGTGTTGTGGGATTCCCTGTGGAGTATGGACTATTCATACGAAGGTCCATTGAGGAAATAGCGAGACGGGGGTGGTGGTTCGCCGTGAAAGAGTCAGTACTGGTTGGAATACAAAGAGGTGCATTTAGACTACAACTGCTGTAAAATAAAGCTCCTGGGATGGTGTTGGGGTCATTGGGCATTTTGCCTCGGGGTCATAGCTCAGTCATGGTCAAGCTGCATTGGGAAAGGCGTTTCCTGCTTTCCTACCTAATATGTTGGAGCTCTTTATTACCTTTTGGTTCTTGTTTTAATCATGTGTACAGTCCTAGGGATGGCTGTTCCATGTTGGCAAGTGAGCAGATTGGGCGGATATTCTTGTTCCCTGGTTGCCCAGTTGCATCATCGATAGCAGGTAGTAAGGAGTAGATTGTGTTTAGTATAGAAGCTTCAGATGCCAATTATGCGAAAATTTATTTATGAAGGGGTGTGTTTTCCGCTCGACGTTCAGTTTGGCGATGTAATTGCGGATCGTGGAGGAGCAACGCGTGCTCCAGGATTTGATGTATTGGAAAGACGCTTTGGTACGAAGTCTTGGTTGGTATAGTTGTAGAAGGCAAGCCAACGTAGCTTTGAGCCCTGTTCGCCTTGTTGTTTTTGTTTTTCATGCTGGGCCAGCAATTGGAGGATCATCAGGGTCTGACTGAGACAGTGCAACACGTTGATTTATAGTTCAGGTCAGCTCAATCCACACTGTGTAGCTTAAGCACCCACGTCTCTCACTTCTCACTTCACTTTCACCCAAGTTGACAATAGGCTCCTTCACTCGCATCAACCAACTATGCTTAGCAAGGATATTTTGCTCAGATTGCGAGGATAATCGCACACTCGGTCGGGGGTTTTCGACTCGGTGGTCCTCCCCAACCGAGAGGCCATCTCTTTCCTACAGGAGCAAGCAAAAATGAGATTGATGTTGATGCTTGTCGTCTAGACTCTATGCTTCATGTCATGGAGCCCGTGCCTGAAGCACCTCCAACTTCCGCCATTGAGGTGCAGCACGCAAATCTCCCCCCGGAGCTCATTTTGCACATCATCGACTGTCTACTCCCATGCACGCCGCACATGATTCTTCCCCCAAAACACCCGTCCACCAAGACCTTGGTCTCACTCACCACCGTCTGCCGCGCCACCTACATACACGCCTCCCGACTTCTCCGCCAGCGTTGCGTGCACATCGACTCCAGCCAGCGTCTCGCCACCTATCTCGTCTGTATCCCGCGCCTGGTACCGACGCTGCCGCCTGTCCTGTCCCTTCGGAACATCACGTCTCTCTACCTGGCGCCGTTTGGGCCTTCGCTCGACGACCAGCCCACGGCCGAATGGGTGCGCGAGCTCTTCTGCGAAGTGTGCGATTCCCTCCGCCGGCTGGTCGTCCACATGCCCTTTGCCAGCCTCGACCCTCTCGACGACCATCTCAACGTGCGGAGGACGCTGCGCGAGGGCTTTGAACAACTCACCAAGGTGGAAGAGTTCACGTGTCTGGCGGAATACCCGGCCCTGAGCGTGCCCGATGCACACACCGACGTATGGCGTCTGTGGCCGGACCTCAAACGCCTCACGCTGTTTGGAGTGCCGCTTGACAATCACTGGCTTTGGTGGGATATAGCTACGCTCCCGGAACTGAGGCACGTGGTGTTGGCGCAGCCGCAGAGGGTGGACGCGGCGGATATCAAGGATGAGTATTTTCACAAGCTGCCCAGGGACGACCCGCGGCTGGGGAGGAAGATTCGCATTGTACTCTTGGATGCGGCGTACAAGATTGGGACAGTGAGAACGGCGAGGTGGAAAGAAGTTGATCCCGAGGCAAAGATGGAGGTGGAAACGTACGAGGTTCCGAGGCCGTTTTACGGGGACGAGAGTGATGGGGAGTTGGTCACAGAGTGGGTGAGGAGGGGGGCTTTGGATGGTACGTTGTGGGAGTGGAAGGGAGACAAGGTGAGTTGACGGGGGATGACGAAGCTTGAGTATATAGGGCATGTGTTTGACTTTGGGGGCAGTGGTTTGGATGCTCATGCCCGATGGATATATATATATACCTAGGTATATACGGAGTATACATAACGTGTATAGACGGACAGAGCCATCGTTTGGCCCGGGAGCAAAAGCAGCATGTCACGTCACACGCATAGTAGTTTACTAATTTAAATCATGTCAACCCATGCAACGCACTGTTCAACCATGGGTCGGTCGGTCGGTGGTCAATGTTGAATCTGCGGGCCGTGGGGGAGTCGCGCAGCCGATCTCGAAAGACGACGATGAGTGGCAGACCAGTCGGTCAAGTTATGCACTGCTTACCCCGCCGTGTCGGCGTCAAGAACAAAATCCGGAGGAGAAGCACCCTCTTTCGCCGTCGACAAGGCGCTTTGCATCGCGATGGGGCGTGCGGATGGCGCAGGCAGGCGTTGTGGGTGTACAGAACACGGCCGTTATTTTCTAGAAGATCTGGAACATTGTTCATACCACGTCTACTACATGGCGATGTGAAGGTTATGTGGTACTCTGTATGGAGAGATGGACCATGGCCACGCAGACGGGAGAAAGTTGAGCGCCAACATTCGACCGACCCATGACCCGCTGCGTCGGGACGAGAACAAAGCCGTTCTCTCCACATGGCTCGGGGCGGAGGACCTCGATTGAACTCATCCCCTCGTCGAGCCATCCGCTACTAACTAGAGCCTGCTTATAAGCCGAGCATGGCCACGTCGACCGAGTCCAGATTTTAAAGTATCTTCGGCCTCATCTCCACACCCGACAACCCCCGTCAAACCCTCGTCAACCCCCAGCCAGCCTCGAAGCAGTGTCCTGCCAGTTGGATCGGAGGCGTCCAACCATCATCCTTCCTTCTCTGGCGCTCACCTTTCTGCTTTTTTTTTTTCCTTTTCTCCTCGGCTCGCTCCTCCGTCATCGAGTGGTTCTAGGCAGCACAATAAAAAAAACTCTCCGGTTTGCGCCGCGCGATGAATCTGCATCCAACGTCGACGACTCCCTCGCAGATCTGATATTGCACTTGGCCACTCTTTTTTTGTTTTGAGCAGCATATGACATTGGGCATTGCTTGATTGCTTCATTCATCTTCTTTTCTTTTCTTTGTTCTCCTTTTTTTCTTCCCCTCCCTACTGAGCCTTCGCCCCGGCCGTGCAGTATACATCCCTAAGCCGAGGAATCCGAAACTCCGACTGAAAAGAACACAAAAAAGGCGCGCGTACACCAAGAGCTGCCACGCCGGGCTCCCGCCGCCTACCTGCGAACCATGCCCGACAAGTCGTCGACGGTCGTATCGTATGCTGCCGGAGCTTCTCTCGCCGCCGTTGCCCTCATCTACGTCTTCGGGCCCAACTTCACCATCGACCATGAATCGAGCCCCAAGAAGAAGACCGTCGTAGGTCTGCGGAACCAGGCCAACGACTGCTTCATCAACTCTGTTCTCCAGGCCCTCGCCGGCCTTGGCGACCTCCGCGTCTATCTCATCCGCGAAACCCACCGCCGCCGCATCGAAGACGCCGCCGTGTACGCCAATCTCGTACAACCCGAAGGCACGGCCAGGCTGGAGCAGTGGAAGCTGCAGGGTCTGCAGGACGGCCTGGTGACCCAGGGTCTGAAGGAGATGCTGGATGCCCTCAACGAGCGGCCCATCTACAAGAAGTCGGTGTCGCCCTTCCCCTTTGTCAAGGTGCTCGAGGTTGCCTTCAAGCAGCGCATCAGCAGGCAGCAACAGGACGCCCAGGAGTTTCTGCAGATTGTCGCCGAGCGTCTCAAGGACGAGTACCACGCCGGCCAGCGGGCGAGGTTTCACGCGCGCAAGAACGGGCTCTTGCGCGCGGCTACGGGTGGCACGGGTAGCCCCCTCGATGGCGGCGCCCAGGACCGAGACGAGGATGCTACCAAACGCGGCGCAAGCGACGTCAATGGGAACCATGATGGCGAGTCTGGGACATGTTCGCCGAGCTCACAAGAGGCACCTGGTCCCCAAATACGGCTGCAAATCCCGCTGGAGCTGGAAGAAGGGTTCCCCATGGAAGGCAAATACGAGTCGCATCTGGAGTGCCAGACGTGCAGGTACAAGACAAAGCCCAGGGAGGAGACGTTTTGCACCTTGACCCTCGCCGTTCCGCAAGTCTCGTCGACATCACTAAACTCGTGCTTCGACGGCATCTTCAAGACGGAGTACATTGACGACTTCAAGTGCGAAATGTGTCGGCTGATGCGCGTCAAAGCCAACCTGGAGCACGAGGTGGGCCGATCCAACTCGGAGAGCTTTATAGCCCAGGCCAAGGACAGCATCGAAAAGCTGCAAGCGGCCATCGACACGGATCCCGAACAGCCCCCCGAGGGCGTGGACCTTGGCGACATTCGTTATGCGCCGAAGCGCAGAATAGCAAAAACGACGCGCATGTCCATCTTTCCCAAAATCCTGGCCATCCACCTGTCACGGTCCATCTACGGCATCGGTCAAATGACGCAGAAGAACTCGGCCAAGGTGGCGTTTCCCGAAGAGCTGCCCCTGGGAGGCCTCGCGGACCAGCACAGGTACAAGCTCCTCGGCACCGTGACGCATCGCGGCGGCCACAACAGCGGCCACTACGAGGCCTTTAGGCGGCAGAACCAACCCTTGCCGTACCACAACACGAATACCTTCCAGCAGTCCGACGTCTACAGCAGGACGCCCACGCCCGCGTCCACGCCCGAGATGGCCGCCCGCCCGACGCTCAGCCCGGCCATCTCGACACCCGACCTGCTCTCGCCGTCCCCGGCGACCAACTCGTCCACGCCGTCGCTGGTGTCCATGGCCGCGCCGCCTCGCAGCGTCCCAGCCGAACCCACCTCCTCCCCCGGCTCGTCCGCCGGCACCCCCAGGGAAAAGGACGCCGACACCACTAGCCTCCGCTCCGTCGCGGCCTCTACGAAATCCGCCCTCTCCAGGCTGGCGTCCTCCAAAACCCCGGACCTCCGGAAACCCCCCTCCAATGGCATCCCCAAGAGGCCGAAGCGCCGGAAGCCAGCTGCCGACAAGTGGTGGCGCGTAAGCGACGAAAAGGTCCGCGAGGCCAAGACCAGTGAGGTCCTCAGCATGCAGAGGGAGGTTTATTTATTGTTTTACGAGCTAGAGAGGTAATTCCCTCCCCTGTGTTCTTGGGGGGGGCACCGGGGTAAGACGTAGTCTTGTATATAGCACGTGGCCTCGTCAACCGTCAGGGCCCACGATGGCGTTGTTTTTTAATACATGTGCATGGAACGGGCGTCTGGTTTCGCCTTTTTTTTTTTTCTTTTTTTTCCAATTTTAAAAAAAGAAAAGAAGGCATGGGGAATTGAATCCTTTATGGTGGAGTGTATATACGAATTGATTTGGACAAGAAAAGAACAAGAGGCTTTTCTTTTTTTTTTTCAAAATACAATACAATAGCATTATACTTGTGCTCGGGTCTTTTTGTATAATGCCTGGTCGACGCCGTTGGCTGTTGGGGCAAAAAGAAAACAATCAAGTGTTTGATTACGGCGTACCTAGGTAACGTGCCACCCCATAATATCGTTAGCCCTCTATTTTCGTTATATTTATAATAACGCAATTAATATAAGAGCTCTTTTTTTAAC